TAGCTTTAGTATGGTCTTGTTTGTAAACATTTGGGTAAATGCCCAAAAGTGGGATTGCTGGGTCATAGGGGAGCTCTATGTGAAGTCTTTTCAGGAACCTCCATACTGCTTTCCAAAGTGGTTGAACAAATTTTGTTTTTTTGTTTCATTACTGTGGCTTAATTACAGGGTCTCAAGTTTTCTTGCAGCTTTTTCACCCAGGGCTTGTGCTTTACCACTTGAGCCACACCTTTAGTTCCAAGAGCCCATGTTTCAGTCACCTATTCACTATAAGTTACTTTATGAGCTTTGTCTTCATTATCTCTTGCAAAGTATGAATAGGACCTATGAGTCACATGACCTCAGAGATGATTTACTATCCAAAGCACACTAAAATTTTAAAAATATCATCAATGTAGCTTGTTATCAACCAAGTCTGTGTGGTGTGTGTGTGTGTGTGTGTGTGTGTGTGTGTGTGTGTGTGAGAGAGAGAGAGAGAGAGAGAGAGAGAGAGAGGGAGAGAAGAAAGAGACATCGTATAATATACATCAAGTCATTTTCTGTGTTTGTGTCTGTGTTACTCATATCAGTCCTGGGGCTTGAACTCAGGGCCTGGTTACTGTCCCTGAGCTTTTTGCTCAAGGCCAGCACGCTACCATTTGAGCCACATATCCACTTCCAGCTTTTTTAGTGATTAATTAGAGATAAGTGTCATAGACTTTACTGCCTGGGCTGGCATCAAACCATGATCCTCAGATCTCAGCTTCCTGAGTTCCTAGGATTACAGGCATGAGTCATCAATACCCAGCATTAAGTCTTTAACATTGTAGTAAAACTTTTATATTTTTGAAAATATATATACCATCAGGATGAGTCCTTCATATTATTTTACTAAAAAACAAGTTTAACTGTTTTGTAATTGTCTTTAACCTTCTGAAGGCAAAGCTGGTGTTTAATAATGAATGCTATGTATTCTCTAATATATAGCTATTCCTTAGTAGCCACATGGCTTATCTTTTAAATACCACCAGATCTAGTATTCCCAAAGGACTGGGAGACATAGAGGTGAGAGCTGAGATCTGGAGATGGAAGACTAGAGTCTTAAATTCTGGCTATGGCTCTGGGCTTGAATTTCTTTATATATAAGATGACCTTCAAAGGTATCTTTCCCCTAAACTTCTAATGACCTTTGCCTTTGAAGTAGTTTTACCTCCTTTCCTGATTTCTGAGGTTTGTATTTATAATCCTTGTTTCAGAGCTAATGTATCTGCTAGTTGTGATTCCAACGAATACTTGTGCCTGACTATTGTTCTTAGAACTATTCAATATATACAGTATGTGCAGTAACTTATAGGCATTTAAGAGCTTCGTTTCCTTGAAAAATATAAGTGATACATTCACAAAAGACCAGAAAGCTCAGACTGACATAACGCCTTTGTTGAATGTCATTTAGGGCAAAAGATTTTAGAGGTTCCAACCTAGAAAATGCTTAGAAAATCCAGAAAGGGTTTGAGTATTAAATGTTTTTAAAACTTGCTTTTGGAAGTTCCCCTCTTCCATTTATAAAAGATTTCATTGAGTCTAGTGTTCTGAAGAGCATGAGAAATTTTAGTAAAAACTGTTGTCACAAAATTAATGAAATGCTATGTTTGGTAAATAAGGCAGACACAAGTCTCAAATTATTTTCCTTCCCCCCCCCAAAAAAAAAAGAAAGAAAGAAAAATGGAGACTGCTTATTACCTCATTTTTAACTAGTTTTTTATTTTGAATTGTATTCTGTATGCTTTTGCTTTCTTCTGTGTTTTGATAATAGTAGCATTCTTTTTTTTTTTTTTCTTCTAGTGTTGGAATTAAAACTCAGGGCTTCCAGATTGCCAGATAGATGTTTAGATGTTTATTTGAACCATATCTCCAGGACTTTTTTTCTCAATTACTTTTCCAAACAAGGTCAAGTTTTTTTGCCTGGGGCTGGTCTTCTGCTGTGATTCTTTTACTTATATCTCCCACATAGCTGAGATTATATGCATGTACCACCACACTCTACTTGTTGGTAAAGGTGGTTTTTCTCTGACTTTTTGTCCCAGCTAACTTTGAACTAAGAGCTGCCTTCTAAGTGGCTGAAAATAGAGGTGTGCACCACCACACTTAACCTTAACAGTACCAACCTTTCGAACTAAAAACTATAAATAAATAAAGTACTTTATTTTCTCTCTTGCCCTCTTGTTTTATTTTTTGCTTTAGTTGTTTTGTAGCTAGGGTCTCACCGATGTTCTTACTCCTGCCTCCAAATAGCTGGGATTAAAAGTATTTGCCACCATGCCAAGATTCTTTTTTTTTTTTTTTTTTTTTGGTTGGTCATCGGGCTTGAACTCTTGGCTTGGGGACTGTCCCTGCACTCTTCAGCTCAAGATGAGCGCTCTACAGCTTGAGCCACAGATCCACTTCCATTTTTTTTTTCCTAGTGGTTTATTAAAGGTAAGAGTGTCATGGACTTTCTTGCCCGGGTTGGCTTTGAACCATGATCCTCAGATCTCAGCCTCCTGAGTAGCTAGGATTACAGGCGTGAGCCACTGGTGCCTGGCTTATGCCAAGATTCTTTATGAAACATTATGAAACATTTTTTCTTTCTAGTTCACAGAGAGTTCTCAAAGATATTTGATGGGTACATTTATTGTTAGATACTAGATTATTAACATAAGTTTTGAATAGCTATGTGTTTATTATATTTACTTTAAATGTAAAGAACAACTAGTCTTACTAATGGGGTTTACTGTAAATTTTTATATTTAGTTTTTATTTATTTATTTATTTTATTGTCAGTCGTGGGGCTTGAACTCTGGGCCTGAGCACTGCCCCTCAGCTCTTCAGCTCAAGGCCAGCATTCTGCCACTTGAGCTACAGCGCCACTTCCTAGTTTTTATTCTTAATGTCTTCAAATTCTGGTTTAGAGTAAGTTTATGTTTCTTAATAGATTATCTTCATGATGAGTTCATTTAACTCATTTCCGTTCTCAATAGTCTTGTCATTATAACAACTGGGTTTGGTAGCCAGCAAAAAAGATGCCAAGAGCTTTCACTCCATTGAATTCCCTCCCTACTTTGGTGTAGTAGATTTTCTCATGTAAGTTTCTGGACAGAGAAGAACATCTTGTCTTATAACACTTAAAAAGATTTCCTCTGTTTTGAGTTAATTTTTGTTGGGTAGTAATGAGAATTCCAGCTATATTCTAGTCATTATAGTCTTGTTTTGCATTTTATCAGAACCGCTGTCCCTCCCCTCTTTTTTCTGGCCAGTCCCAGAGCTTGAACTCATGCCTGGGCACTGTCCCTGAGCTTCATTTGCTCAAGGCTAGCATTCTACCACTTGAAAAACAGCTCCATTTCCCGCTTTTCTGCTTATGTGGTACTGAGGAATCGAACCCAGGGCTTCATGCATACTAGGCAAGAACTCTACCATTAAACCATATTCCCAGCCCCCAACCCTGCCCTTTTCTAACTCCACCTCCCTTTCCAGCCAGATAGAAGCCTATTTAAATTAAATCTGGATTACATGAAACTATACTACTCCATGTTTTTTAACTTATTTATTCTTATGTAAAGTTCAATACATTTTCCCAAAGTTAATTCAACTCTTTATCTACTTTGATTTTGTCTTTTCCTTTAGCTGATTTTTTTTTTCCAGTTGTGGGGCTTGAACTCTAGGCCTGGGTGCTGTCCCTGAGCTCTTCACCTCAAGGCTAGCATTCTACGACTTAAACCATAGTGCCACTTCTGGTTTTCTGGTGGTTAATTGGAGATAAGAGTCTCACAGACTTTCCTGCCCACGCTGGCTTTGAACTGGGATTCTCTGATCTCAGCCTCCTGAGTAGCTAAGATTGCAGGTGTGACCCACCAGTGCCCGGCTTAGCTGATTTTTTTGAGCTGTCAATTTCCCTAGCAATGCCTACATAAAATAACCCATATTTAAAATTTTTGTTTTCTATTTCTGTATCACTTTATATATGAGTGATTGATTTAAATGAATTGTTAAACTTTTAAGTTTTCCTAAAATTAAACTTTTTTTTTCATCAGTCTGACTACCTTAGGCTGGGCTTGAACTTACAGTCCTTCTGCCTACCACCCCGGCGATAAGATCATAGGTGGCTTGTACTTCGTCTTAATGCATGTTAATTAGTAGTCAGTACTTAGGCTTGTTCCCCCTGGTATGTGTGAACTTGAGCTTCTTGATCATTTTTACTTCTAAGAAATGTGAAAATATTTCAGTAGCAAGCACTTGATTTTGGCATTGAAAAATTCTACATGTTTTAAAAGTTATTGCCGCTGCTGCAATGATAGTGTTTCATTCCTTTTTTAATACTGAAGTTGGGTGTGGTTCCTTAAAATAGCTATGAATAATGCCTCTTGGTATTTTGCCATAGTTGAGTACATTTCTGTCTACAAAGCTTTTGCTTCTGCTTAACTTGAAGAAATGCCTAAATATAAAATAGTTTATTAGTAGGCTTATAGTTGTTATGCTAAAATGTATTTAAAGTATGCAATTAAATGGATTTTGTGGTAAAGAAAGAAAAGATGTTAGCTATTAGTTTCAAAGATTAATTCATTGATATGTTTTAACACGTAAAATTCTTTTTTTAAAATCCATTTTAAAACAGTAAGATAACATTAATATAACTGTAAACTTTGTTGTATGTTTTAGTATGTTATATAGAAGGCATTGTGTTGAGGATGAGTTTTAGATCTTCTCAGTTCTTCAGATTTCACACCAATAAAATGCTTGCATCTTACTTAGGGTTATCATGAGGGTTAAATGAATGAATGTTTGTAAATCACTTAAGAGGGCCTGTTAGTAAATACTCAATAGTCTCTGCCATCAACATCATATTATTATTAGATTTACAGATTTATGCTTAAAATTATTTACTAGTGTTGTCAAAATTAAGTGATGTATATGAGGATATTATATTTTATGAAGAAAATACTGATATACAGAACAGATGTTTCAGAGGGTGATAAGTCTAGGAGTATATTAAATACTTTTTGCATTTAGTATGTACAAATTAATTTTCAGATGTAATCTCCTCATGCAAATTTTTGGAATAAAATTGGGCATTTTATAAACTTTTAAATTTGAATTAAGCAGAATTTTTAAATGTTGTAGATATGGTTAAATGTTGTTCCTTATTCCTTGGCTGGGGAGTATATCTTGCTACTAGTGGTTTGGTTTGAGTTGCTGTCCAGCTGTTTTTATAGATGCTGTACTTGCCCTACTACCTGACCACTCATTTACCGCCCAGAAAAAATAACCAATGAGAAACCTACCAAGTCCAGTTTACTGATCTTTTGCAACTTTATCAATACAGTTAGAAAAATATGCCATTTTTTTGGAAGATTCCATTGGTCAGGCATTGAGAACATTGTAGATACATACTTTACTAGTCAGGATTTGTTTCTAACAACATCTAAGAAATACCTTTTTTGGAAAATGTAAAATTCAGCTGCCTGCCCTGATCATTTATTTTATTAATCTCTTCCTATATCTGCTTTGTATACTTTTCTGATGACAGTCTCCTTTTTTTTTCTCCTATTTTTGAGATAATCTTGCTGTTTTCCAGGCTGGTCCTGAATTGTCCCTCCTGCCTCAAACTCCCAAATAGCTGGGATCATGAATAGTACACAATCAGATCAGTTCACAATAGTCTTCATTAATGACAAATCTAACCAAGTCCTGTTCAGAAACCTCCCATGTACCTACTGGTAAAACAGTTACAGATTCCTAGATGATCAGTTTACTTTTCTTACCTATTCTGCTTGAGCTTGAAACCCTGACAGTTTTCTAACCTCCTTAAATTTTAGAAATCCTTCTAGTCTTTGGGATTTAATTCCTAAAACTAAATCTTACTCTGTTTAGTATATGTAAATAGAAGGACTTTGTTGAATTTTATAGAAATGAGTGTCTTTGATTTCCATTACTTGATTCTGTATGTGTCTTTTCTCATGTAATAAAAGAAATTAGCTTATTAAAGGCAAGGACTATAACCTACCATTAACATCCATTTTTGCTACTGTCCATTATAAGTACTGGTTTTCCTTAATACCATCAAAAGTATCACACTACTGTGCATTTAAATCTTTTGGTTCATTTCAGGCTTTATGGAGGAAAACACATGAAGTTTGGGAGGGAACATGTTAAGAAGTTCTCTTTCATTGTTTTCTTTTTAGAAAGTTTCTTGTTATTATTTCTAAATTACTTTTTAACTGATAGATTAAAAACAATAAGTGTATGAATGAGACAATGATATTTTGACACATGAATACATTGTTTAACATTTCAATCAAGTTAAACATTACTCAGTGGTTTATCTTTTCCTTATATTAACAACTTCCAAAAATTTATTACATTTTGAAATGTACATTGTTATTCAGAGTCATCCAGTGCTGTGGCACACCAGACTTTGTGCTGCTTTCTACCTGTAACTAGTACTAGTACCCATTATTCAATCTTCGTTCCCTCCATTCTTCTGCAACCTCTTAAGACTTGTTACTTAATGTAATCATCTCCAGTTCCATCTCTATTTTTGGAAATGTTGGGATTTCTTTTTTAGATACTGGCTGAATAGTGTTCCATTGTATAAGTGTACATATTTTCTTTATCCATTCATCTGTTGATAGGCACTTTAATTGTTTCCATTTTATGGCAGTTGTATTGCCAATGAGTGTGAGAGTATAGATGTCTCTTCAGACATACTGATTTCATTTGTTTTTGCCTAATATACCTAGGAGTAGAACTGCTGGATTGTGTAGTAGGTCTGTTTTGAGGAACCTCCATATGCCTTTTCATAACAGTTGTATTCATTGCTCTTTAAGTTGTACCCAAAGTTGTTAACCAATGCAAACTTGACTTAGAATTGATGTGTCATGAGAGATCAGAAGAGAATACAAGTTCAATGTCTCTTCCTCAGTCCTTTGTCTCCTATTTCTCTAAAGTCTGCAAGGTGGTAGAAATAAGATTTAACTTGTTCAAATGCATTATAGACCTTTTTGTCAGTTTAAATTAACTTTGTGCCAGGTACCAGTGGCTCATGCCTGTAATCCTAACTACTCAGGAGGCTGAAATCTGAGGATCACGGCTCAAAACCAGCCCGAACAACAAAGTCTGTGAGACTCTTAATCTCCAACTAACTACTAAAAACCAGAAGTGGTACTGTGGCTCAAAGTGGTAGAGCGCTAGCCTTTAGTGAAAAAGCTTAGGGACAGTGCCCAGGCCCTGAGTTCACACCCCATGACCGACCCCCCCCCCGACTCCAAAAACAAAACAAAACAAAAATTAACTTGATTGTAACTACAGGCAATTATAATAATTTTGTAATTATAACTTTTTTTCCTACAGAAAACCATAGGCAAAATTGCAACATGCTTGGAATTGCGAAGTGCAGCTTTACAGGTAGATATTTTGTTTTTCTTTTTCTAACACAAGAAGAATAATTATTTTGATAAAACATTATAGACATTAGTGCCCAAAACGCTATTAGGGTTCTATAGCAATAAGAATTCATCCATTGAACTCATGCTTAAATTATATCACTTATATTTTGTAAGCTTTAGAAATAAAAGATATAACTTTAGTTTTTTTCTGTTACTTTTAGCCTGAACGTTCCAAGAATTCAAAAGCAAAAAAAAAAACAAAAAAACTTTTTTTTCATTATCTACTTTGAAGTCAAGAAATAGACTCATTTTGACTATTTGGTTCTTATTATTTAAACAACATAGAGTACACTGAAATCTTTGTAGTAAAAAGATATAATGTGCATATCTTAAATTCAGTCCACACAGTCCCAAGAAGAATTTAAACTGGAGGACCTGAAGAAGCTAGAACCAAGTAAGTTTAATCTTACATTTTTAGTGGTACTACTTTAGGAAAATGGTTCCTTATCACTAGCAGTGATGGTAATTAGACTCGCTTCTCTTAGTATGTAGTCCTATATGATCTTTTTGGTGCTCTTTTAATTCCTACAATATTCATAGTAACTATCATGGATTTTAACCTTCATTTATAGAACATATGAGGTTGTATTAATTGAAGTATGTATTAGCTTTGCTGGGTACCAGTGGCTCATACCTATAAGCCTAGCAATTCAAGATGCTGAGATCTGAGAACTGCAACTCAAAATCAGCCCAAACAGGCTCTTATCTCCAATTTACCAGAAAAAAAAACCCTGAAAGTAGAGATGTGGGTTAAGTGGTAAAACACTAAACATGAGAGCTAAAGCTGAACAAGAGCCTGAGGCTTTGAATTCAAGCTCCAGTAGTAGCATACAAAAATAACTAAGCTGGGCATCCATTGCTCATGACTGTAATCCTAGCTAATCAAGAGGCTAAGAACTGAGGATCATGGTTTGAAGTCAGCCTGGACCAGAAGGTATGTGAGATACTTATCTCCAATTAATCACCAAATGCTGGAAGTGGTACTGAGGCTCAAGTGGTAGAACACTACCTTGATCCAAAAAGCTCAGGGATAACACCCAAGGTGAGTTCAAACCCCAGGTCTGGCACTAAATACATGAATAGCCTTTATTTTGTCTTAATGGCTTTTATACGACTATACCTACTATGACAGACATTTACAGTAGAATAAAGAATATAAAGTTATAGTTGTCCATGCCATTCACATTATGTTTCTTTGGAAACAACAGACTCCCTGTGAAGACAACACTACAAAATATTTACTCTTTCTCTCAATTTCTTCTCTCTTCTTACAAACTTCTTAAACTAAGGAGTTCAAATATTTTGGTGGTTAGGATAATACCAAATAAAGCCTTCTTGCTTGTTTAAAGAAATGCTCTCTTAGGAGATATGTTTGCAATATGGATCCCCATACAGAGATTATAACTGAATTCTGCCATTGAGAGTAGATTGTACACTTTAAACTTATTTATGTAAATAGGGAAGAATATATTTTATTTACTCTTTACCTCAGCCCTTAGTAGCTGAATGGCCTGAATCTAGGATACCTCAGGACAGGTTTCCATGCCTTGGATAAGAAGTAAAAGAACTGAAGAGACTATTCATGAAAATTCCCCAGACTGCCAATTTTTAACCTGTTTATAGGAAGTTCAAGAAAGGTAGACTTCTGTTATTGAGCTGTTGAACTGTGAATGTAATTACAGGCAGAGACCACAAAGGAGGAACCCAGAGTCTAAGCTGCAAGGGATCTGATTTCTATTGTTTGGGTAGTAGAGAAAAGCAACAAAAAAAATCAGAACACATAGCATATTTGTTGTGATTCTGGTGGCTTTTCTAAAGTTGTTATCATATTTTGTCTCTTCTGAACACTGTTCCTCATATAGCCAGAATTATGGTGAACTGTTATTTTAGTATTATTTTTGTTGTTGTTGTTGATCATAGGGCTTGAACTCTGGGCCTGGGTAATGTCCTTCAGTTCTTCAGCTCAAGGCTAGTGCTAGTGCTCTACCACTTGAGCCACAGAACCATTTCCGGTTTTCTGGTGGTTTCTTGGAGATAAGAGTCTCACAGATTTTCCTGCCCGGGCTGGCTTTGAACCACAATCCTCAGATCTCAGATCTCAATCCTCAGATCTCCTGAGTAGCTAGGGTTACAGGCATGAGCCACTGGCACCCAGCTGAACTGTCATTTTAATAGTTTTGGTTGCTTTATATAATTCAGCTCATAAACTTTTTGTTGCAAGATATATACTTCTATATTCAAAATAAATTTTATATATTTACAGTATAAATAAGAATGTCAATCAAATAATAAAACATGTTTTACAAATTTTTATTATTTTTGTCAGTCATGGGGCTTGAACTCTGGGCCTGGGCTCTGTCCCTAAGCTTTTCAACCCAAGGCAAGTGTTCTACCACTTGAGCCACAGCGCCATTTCTGGTTTTCTGGTGGTTTCTTGGAGATAAGGGTCTCAGGGACTTTCCTGCCTGGTCTGGCTCTGAATCATGATCCTCAAATTTCAGCCTCCTGAGTAGCTAGGATTATAGGTGTGAGCCACCTGCGTTCGGCCAAATTTTTATTTGTAATAAACACATTTTCTTTTTTTTGGGGGGGGGGTCCGCTCGTGGGGCCTGAACTCTGGGTCTGGACGCTGTCCCTCAGCTCTTCAGCTCAAGGCTAGCACACTACCACTTGAGCCATAGCACCACTTCCGGCTTCTTTTTTCTGCTTATGTGGTGCTGAGGAATCGAACCCAGGGCCTCATGCATGCAAGGCAAGCGAAGCATTCTACCACTGAGCCACCTTCCCAGCCCCTAAACACATTTTCTTGTGCCTACAGTTTAACTTGATGACTTTCGAAAAAGGTAGTAAAAATACTTCATATAAGATAATTTTTCTCTTTTTGTAAATTATTTTCATAACAACTTGTTTTATTGAGATATAATTCACATACTATACAGTTTATCCATTTAAAGTATAGTTTATTTTTTTGTATTTTGACAATTATGTAATCATAACCAGCTATTTTAGGACATTTTTCATTACCACAAAAAGAAACCCTATACCCATTAGCAATCAGTCATTTTTCCTCATCCCACCCTGAAAGCCTCCAATTACCAGCTCTAGTCAACCACTAATTTAATTTCTGTCTATAAATTTGCCTATTCTGAGCATTTTATGTAAACAGAATCATGATCCATCGCTTTTATAACTAGCTACGCATAAGATTATTTTGAGAAAAGCACATTGGTGCCTTTAAATGAAAGATTACAACTGTAGGATTGGGAGTGTAGTTCAGTGGTAGAACTCTTGCCTGGCCTATGAGAGGCCTTGGGTTCCATCCTCAGTGACACACACACACACTACAACTGTAGGTCATAAAAACACATACACACATATTACAACTGTAGATCACAAAAAATAATAACTAAAAAGAAGTTTGGTTTCTTATTTAGTCACTATTTTCCAGCAGGTTTGTTGGTTACAAACAAAATTTGAGAATCTTACAGAGGTCCAAGGGTGAGACCTGGAGGTAGAACGCTTGCCTTGAATTCACAAGTGTCTAGTTTCAATACTTAGCATTGTCAAAAGGAAAAAAAATTACAGATATTTACAAGGGTAACTATAAAGGTTATAAACTATCCTTGGGTATTTATTATCTCTTCCTATAAAAATCTTCAATTCTTTCTCCTATTGTCTCACAAGATCTTTCATCAATTGACAGTGTTTGGGTTTTTTTAAGTGTAGCAGCTATATGCCAAACACTCAGATAATTCCTCTCAACTGAGTTTTGCTAATGACAACACTTTCTCTTTTAGCTTTAAACTGCAGGACTTCAAAATGAAAGGTTAAATAAGTTGAGTACCACAGATCCCTTTTGGGTAGCTTGTTAATACTGTGAGTTTGCCTTGATGTGATTGCAGGTAATTGCTAGGAATACAGAAGGCCAGAAATGAGACACTAAATTACATACTTAATGTATTTCTCCAGATATAAATAGCATTGTAGAACATATTTCTCTAAGCTTATGTGCCAGAATATAGCCAGGACACAATGTCATGTGTGAAGACTTCTCTTGAATGTAAATCCCACTCTGTGTGTCTACATATGTAAATACATAAATGTATTTCATAATAAATTTAATCATAAATGGAAGACAAAAATTATAACTTGGCTGCTACCAGACTGGCCTACAGGATGCTATCGAGGGCAAATTGATTCAAGACAGAAAAGCATGTGTTCATGTATTTCTCCAGTTGTCATCTTTTTTGATGTCAGTCTTAATTAATTAAGTCTCATAGAGAGGAGGTATTCTCCTTCTCTACCTTGTACTGTGTGGGAATTCATTTTCTAAGACCTTCAAAGAGAAGTGGGGGGAGGAAGGGGAGAGTGTATACATAGTAAAAATGACTAAAATTAGCCATTTAAGATGCAGTATTTGGTTTTAATTAATGGAAGAATTTATATTTACTTATCTTTTTATTCTAGTACTAAAGAATATTCTTACATATAATAAAGAATTTCCATTTGATGTTCAGCCTGTACCATTAAGGTAAAATAAATGTCCATATTGTCTTCTCATTATATCATCTATAACTTTTTAAAAATACTTCTTTAATATCAAATTTTGATGGCATTTGTATGATTGATACTAGTGGTAACAATTATTACAATAGAGCCATTGATACCAATACATCAACTGTTTAACACCTTCAGTATCTTTCCTGGAAAATGAGTAGCTATGAGGCTTTACTAACATATTGAGCATTATAGCTTATTATGTTTTTTTTAATAGAAGAATTTTAGCACCTGGTGAAGAAGAGAATTTGGAATTTGAAGAAGATGAAGAAGAAGGTGGTGCTGGAGCAGGGTCTCCTGATTCTTTTCCTGCCCGAGTTCCCGGTGAGTATTACTTAGATAGAATATTTCTTATTTCATCAAAGGTCAAGGTACTTGGAACTGATTACTCACTAGTGGAGAATAAAACTCCAGAGGCCCTGCAGTCTTTTTTTTGTTTCTTTTAAACAATTTTATTAGCATACAGTAATTGTATAAGGAAAGAGAGTTCCTTACGACATTTTCATAGATGCATACAATGTCATTCCCCTCTGTTACTCTCCCTTATCTACCTCCTTCCTTCAAAATAATTTCAACAATTTCATCCTTCCCCTTCTTGCTGATAACCCCAACCCAACAGAGCCTTTGGGAATTAAATCCACAGCTTTAGTATCCTAAAGAGGCCACAAAATCTTAAGCAGATTGCTGGTAGTAGCTACTTAAGTATATAGTGTAGAAACATCACCTGTGTCAGAGATCCCCAAAACCACCCACATCATCACTGAATGGCTAGGACTCACAAGACTAAGTGTATGTTGTACTCACAGCTGTGAGTTATTAGGAGAAAACACAACAAAATTAGCAAGGGGGAAAGGCACTTGGGTGAAGTCCAGAGGAAACCAGGTATGAGTTTCCAAGAGACCGCTCCCAGTGGAGTTCCATAGGATGTGTTTCATTCCCCCAGTGACAGGTAGTGACAACTCCTGTGAAATACTAGCACCCTCTGCCTACCATAGGCCAAAATTCTAAACTCCACAAGGAAACCACTTATTAACCAAAAACCATATAATTTGCACCAATGGTTTAGACGTTGTATTATTATAAGAGAAGGAAGGGAACCTTTCTCAAATCCAAAATCCCAAATGGCAACCCAGGCCAGCCTTACAAACAGGCCATGTTAAGTCTTCTAGGCTAACTTCTAGGTACCTTTAATATATATTATCCTAAGTCCTTTAATTAGTCAAATTATGATTATTAAAATCATTACCAGGAAAAACATATACTACTTAAGTTCCCTTGTTTAAGGGAAACAACGAATATGTAGCAAGCCTTTTTATTTGTGGGTCTTGATAAGGATCTTTCCTCTCAATAAATAATCTTACAAGGACCCTGGGTAAAATTTTTGGTTTTCACAGTTACTTCTTTATTCTCTTCTGTTCTTAGTGCACTATTTTTTAAGATGGTTTTGGAAACAGTGTGGTTTTGTAGCACAAGCTGGTGATCATTCTTCCTTAGCCTCTGGACTGCTGAGATCACAGGCATGCATCACCACACCTGCCTCTGCACTGTTCTTTCTGGAAAACTAGGTCACTTTAGGAAGTGTAGCAAGATGCTGTAATACTGTGAGGAATTTTAGGATAGACTATGCGTTACAATGTAGTTGAATTCCGTATGTGTGTCATTCAGATGAGTTCATAAGTAAAGTAATATTCCACTGTTCTTAAGATTCCTTGGAGAGGAAACATTTGTAGTATGAACAGTGAAGGGTTGAATAAGCAGAAGTCTAATTTCTGCCAGGCACTAGTTGAGTTAGACTACACACATTACTATCTGAAATGAGAAAATGACCATGCCTAGCTTATAGCGTCTCTATGAAGATTAAATAAGGCCTTAAATATAAAGCATTTACATGATAACCTTTCATAATGCCAATTTAGTGGAGGCTCTTATCCTCTCCTCATCATCTGTAAATTGAGATAATGATACATCTTCCATATGTTTCTGTTTTTTTTAATTGTTATGATAAAGGTCATGTACAGAAAGGGTTACGGACACATAGGTTAGGTAATGAATACATTTCTTTTTGGTCAATGTCACCCCTTCACTCTCTCCCAATTGCTCTTTCCTGTCCCCACCCACAAGTTGTATACCACTGAAGATAGATTTTTTTTTCTTAATTTTCTTACATTAGTCATAGGCGAGAGGATTTCATGGTAACATTTCCACACCATTACAATGTATTCCTAAGTCACTCTCCCTAGTGCTTTTCCCTCTTCCTAACACAATCTCTACAGGTTCCATTGTTTTAGTTTCATAGGTGTAAATTATGTCTTGATGGTAACCAACCTCCTTCATCCTCCTTGCTAGCTCAGTCCCTTCCCTCAAGTATCTGCCCCTCAATAGTCTGTTTCTCTTTCCTTGTCTGTATTCCTCTATTGATGAACAGCTTTCATGTTCCTTAACCAAGATTGTAGTAAGGAAATAGAGAGGGTAGTCCTGTTGGAATGGTTCTATGTCATTTGTTACATAGGGTGGAAAGCTAAGCCCTATGGGAGAGGTTAATAAGTAGATGAAGTAAGATAAGTAGGAAAAAAAAAAGTTGTGTAGGATCAGAACATTAGTGAAGGTGAAGTTGGAAATGAGTAGGTATAGGCATAACACAAATATAAAAGAAACAGGGCAACACCAATGATCAAGAAGGAGGGAAGAGAAAGAGTAAATTTAAACAAAGTAAATAGCAAAAAACAAAAACCAAGAGCAAATACTGTTCAGCTAATCTACTTTTAGGTATGTGTTTAGTTGCTCAGAAAGATTTAGCGGTAGAAGATCGGGAGTAGCAGAGAGTATAAGAAAGAGTTGTATCTATTTGTTTTCTTCTTTTACTCTTTGCAGGTTTAGAGATTGCTGGTTTTTTTTAATTGATCATAATGTATTCTTTCCTAATTTTCACATGTTTTTTCCATTTCTTTTGTGAAATTGCCTCTTTCCTGAGATCTGTGAAAGATTCCTTTAAGTGTTGTTTTCAATTCTCACTTACTGGTTATGAATTGTTATAGTTTATATTTGTCTTCATTTCTCCTTGGATTTTAAAAGATAACGAACCTGGATATAACACTCTTAATTGGCCCGTCTTTATTCTCAAGGGCTTGAAATATGTCAACCCATGCTTTCTTAGTTTTCCAAGTTTCTACAGAAAAAGAAAAAAGAAAAAGTTTCTGCTAAGAAGTCTAATGTAAAACTGATATTTTTACCTTTGAAAGTTAGGTTGACATTCTTCACTTTCAGCTTTCAATATCTTCTCTTTGGTCTCTAGATTTCACACTTGAAATATAATGTGATGTTTTCTGGTAGTCTATGTAGGATTCTATATGCATCTGAGTCTTTTCCTGGATATGGAAAATGTTCTCCTATAATTCCATTCAATAAATTTCCTGTGGTTTAGTTTCTATCTCAGTTCTTGCAGAAATTCTTCAGTTTAATCTCTTTATATTACTCCAGTGTCCTTGAAAGTTGTCTTCTGACTTGTTTGTTTTTTTCTGTATTGCTATCCTAATGTAGTACTTGCTTGACCTTATCTTCAATCCCTGATATTCTTTCTTGTGTGGTTTAGTATATTGGTGATAGGTGATGCTTTCCACTTCCTTTTTTGTTTTGTTGTTGTTTGACCAGTACTAAGGTTTGAACTGGGAGCTTTGAACTTGCTTGGCAGGCACTATACAATAGAGCACACTCCTAGCCCTTTTTCACAATGATTATTCTTGAGATAAAGTCTTGCCCTCCTACCTTGATACATGCCTGAACCATGATCTGCCTGTATTAGACAGTTCATGTCTTCTGTATCTGGGAAGATTATGAATCACTGTGGCTAGATTATTTTATTGAGATGGAATCTCATGAATTTTTCTGCCTGGAAATTGCAATCCTTCTGTAGTTTGACATGTTATGTACATACTGGATTAAAATCAGCTCTTGCTCTCTTTTTTTTTTTTTTTTTGGTCAGTCATGGGGCTTGAACTCTGGGCCTGGGCACTGTCCCTAAGCTCGTCAGCTCAAGGCTAGTGCTCTAACACTTAAGCCACAGTCACTTCTGGTTTTCTGGTGGTTAATTGGAGATAAGAGTCTCATGGACTTTCCTGCCCGGACTGGCTTTGAACTGCGATCCTCAGATCTCAGCCTCCTGAATAGCTAGGATTATAGGTAGGAGCCACCAGTGCCCAGCTTCAGCTTTTGTTTTCATCTTGTTGAAAGACACAAACTCTACAGTTATTTCTTATTTTATACTATTTTGGAGAGGGGGGGTAGTTCTCATCTCATTCTGGATGGGCCTTTAGTTTTAAATTTTTCAATTTGTGTATAGATAAGATTTCAAACATACAAATTGGTCTTAGGATTTTATGTGATACTCTGTAGTATTAATTCTGAGAGAATCAATCATACAGGATGAGGAAAAGAATAGAAAATTATACTAAAATTCAACAATTAACCACAAGTATTAAAGTATATATATATATTATTAGTAGCAACTGAAAGATTTATTAATAACTCTGATATGAAATCTCTCAAGCTTTCGGATAGTATAACAAATGTCTTAAAGGCTTTTCCTGTTTTTGTTCTTCATATTAAAGTATAAAATTTAAGTTCATGGAATGTATTATGGGAGTATATTATCAATTTTGTAGTAATTCATAATTGGACTTCCTTGAATGAATTGAATTTTTTTGTGTGTGTGCCAATCGTAGGGCTTGAATTCAGGACCTGGATGCTGGTAGTTTGTTGGAAATAAGAGTTTTACAGACTTTCCAGGGTAGATCTGAACCATGATATCCAGATCCAACCTCCTAAATAATTACAGGATTACAGGCATGAGCTACCAGTGCCTGACTATAATTTGACTTTTTAACAAGCTTGAATTAAGAAATCTACTATATGGTGTTTTGAGGTATGGAATTTCAGATTTATCTTGCTTATAATTTAATATTTTTCTGAAGTGAATAAGAGTAAGTGTTTGGGACTTTTGGAAACTAAAATATATAAGGTCTGGCTACTTATTTAAGAGCAAGTCTGTATCTTTTCTGCTTGTTAAAATATTTACTCTGAAATTATTGGTAGAGCTAACATTTATGGTTGTCTCTCTGTTGCCAGGTACTTTATTACCTAGATTGCCATCAGAACCTGGAATGACGTTACTCACTATCAGAATTGAGAAAATTGGTCTAAAAGACGCTGGGCAGTGTATTGATCCCTATATTACAGTTAGTGTAAAAGGTAAATAACATTCTATCTATATTCCTCCCCCCCCAGCAAGTTTTATGCTAGGCACTACTCTCCTTTTGGATTCTTTTTCATTTTTATGATATATTAATTAATTCTACAATGAAACAAAATCCCTATAAAAGATGACCACTCTTCCACTGAACACCTCTCAGAGATCTACTGAAAATATTTTCCTGTTTATAACTTATACCCAATTTTATTTTGTTTCTGAGACACTGCCTCAAAAGAAAGACTAAGAATAATGATTGGATCATTAATGATAAAGTTACCATATCATTACCGAGTAATAACTGTACTGTTGGTGCAAATGATTTACTTTAACTTACAATTTGAGACAAATGGGCTGAAATTAAATGGTTCTTTTATTAGTCATAAATTCAAATCTGTGAGTTTTTTATATTGATTAAAAGAAAAGGGAAGCCAGGTTTCTATGACTCATGCCTGTAATCCTAGCTCATCAGGAGGTTGAGATCTGAAGATCCAGCCTGGGCAGGAAAGTCTGTGATTCTTTTTATCTCCAATTAACCACTATAAAGCCAGAAGTGTAGCTGTGGCTCAAGTGGTAAAGCACTTGCCTTAAGCAAAAAAGCTCAGAGACAGAACCCAGGTCCTGAGTTCAATTCCCAGGGCTGGCACTAAAAAAATAAAAATAAGGAATTAAGTCATAGTAAAAGATTTTAATATGTAAAGATTATTATCAGGCTGGGAATGTGGCTTAGTGGTAGAGTGCTTGCCTTGCATGCATGAAGCCCTGGGTTCGATTCCTCAGTAAACAGAAAAACAGAAAAAGCCAAAAGTGGTGCTGTAGCCTTAAGTGGTAGAGTGCTAGCCTTGAGCAAAAGAAGCTCAGGGACAGTGCCCAGGCCCTGAGTTCAAGCCCTAGGACTGGCAAAAAAAAAAAAAAAAAGATTACCACCAACAGAACTATAACTGATATTTAACTTTTGATGTTACCAATTATCAGATATGTATTCATTGGGAAAAATATACATTGTTTGGTAGGCCATTTAAAAAACCTGTATAGCTCATTCAGAAATATACACTGTAAAACATAAAAAGTAATGATAATGTGTATATTGTTACCTTTGCATAGTGAACTGAAATTTTTTGTGTGAATATCTCTGAGAATTAAAATAAATATACTAAATTCTTTTTAAGTTCCCTATGACGCTCTGTTGAATAATACATAAATACTAAGTATTTAGAGAAGCCATGTTGAATTGAACTAAACTGGGATTTCTGGATTTAGGAAATTAAAACCATAATAACTTAGAATACCATCTGGTGGCTGTGGACATAAACCAGTATTTAGGTTATATATATAATTTTGCTCACTGATGAAAGAGCTTCCTTGGCAGCTCTCATGTCCATTTGACTTGAATACTACAGGGAGATTCTGATGTTAGATTCAAAAGCCTTTGCAAAGGTTGGAAAATAGGGACAGGAACCACATTGTGGCGTATTATATACATTCTAAATTTTTATTGCACATTAAATAGTCTATTCCCCAGGAAAGCAGAAACTTCCTTTCAACTTTTAACCATAAACATCAAGCTTTGTCTTCCACAAACTTCATTTTCCACCTGGCCCTGGCAAACCTTCCTCACCTCCATAAGGTTTCTCATCCTCTCTGCTCACCTCCCTCCACCTACCCCAGTGGATATCAAGAGCTCCCAGACCCCTGCCTACACCAGCTAGGGAGTTCTGTTAGCTTGAGAATTGCCTTTCAGCTCTCACCAGGCCTTTGTCGGAAACATAACTGTGCAGTCTGCAATGCCAGGGCTCCTAAGCAGAAACTTCTGTTTCTCTCTAGATTTGAATGGCATAGATTTAACTCCTGTGCAAGATACCCCTGTGGCTTCAAGAAAAGAAGACACATATGTCCATTTTAATGTGGATATTGAGCTCCAGAAGCATGTTGAAAAATTAACCAAAGGTTTGTAATCATCAGTCATTGGCCTCAGCCAGGCGCCAGTGGCTCACACCTGTAATCCTAGCTACTCAGAAGTCTGAGATCTGAGGATCGTGGTTCAAAGCCTGCCTGGGCAGGAAAGTCCATGAAACACTTATCTCCAGTAAGCCACTGGAAAACTGGAAGTGGCTCTGTGGCTCATGGTAGAGTACTCTCCTTGAGCTGAAGAGCTCAGGGACAGCATCCAGGCCCAGAGTTCAAGCCCCACAACCAATAACAACAAAAAAACTTCATTGGCCTCTGATGGACAGAGCCCTCTTTTGGGATTGTGCGCATATTGACATAACAGCTGGTATCTGGCAAAAATAAATATCAAACAGGGACCAAATAGGCACCTGGAAAACAAGATAACCTCATTCATATGTCAACAGATACACACCAAAAAAAATCAAGTTATTTAAGTACGGCCTTACTAACAAGGAACACTTTACTATATTATAGTGTTTGTGATTATAAACTAGATAACACAATTACTAATTTTCTCAGTTAAAAAACTTATGTTTGATTTTTCTCAAATAAGCATTATTTTGGAATATCCTCAGACCATTTCCTCTTCATTCTCCCCAGTGCACAGATAATATCTAAGGGAGCCTCCTTCACTTTTGCTAGGCTTGAATTCTTTTTTTTAAATTATATAATTTAATTGTTTTTTTATAATAAATTACAATAGTGTGGGTTTTGATTTACACAGAAGTATTATAAATTAGGCCTGAATTCTTAATCCCCATTTTCAACAGGTCTCATATCTTATCTTGTCCACTTAACTCCCCCCTTCCCTCTCCACACACAAGGTGAGACCAGTAACTTTTGAAGCAATTGACATTACAGTATTTGATATTTCACATCTCTTAATCTGGTGCTTGGCCACTCAGATACCCATCTACAGTGCTCCTGGCACAGACTTGGAATGTGGCTTAGCAGTAGAGTGCTTGCCTGGCATGCATGAAGCCCTGGGTTCAATTCTTCAGTACCACATAAACAGAAAAGGCTGGAAGTGGTGCTGTGGCTCAAGTGGTAGGGCACAGAGTGGTTCATGGACAGTGCCCAGGCCATGAGTTCAAACCCCAGGACTGGCAAAAATGAAAAAACAACAGTGCTCCTGGCACCACAGTGGTTCTGAGTGCCCCCAGAGCAGCAGTCATACCTAAAACCTCATTAAGTGCAAGTGTTGGCCCAGCTCATCTCCTGAGTCGAACCGTGGGCAGCCTCAGCCGTCTGTCTTGGTCTTTCTGATATGTACCAGAGCTTGTCACTGTTAGAAGAATGTGTTAATACACTCATTAAATAATGTTGAACATTTTTAGTATTGAAGTATGCCTAAAAGTACTAAAAAAAATTAAATTTTCTACTTGTCTCCATTGCTTTGAAAAATGTTCCTGATATGAAGGGGAGAAGGTCAAGTGTTTTATGGGCTAACTTTTCAATTTTATTATGCTATATTCTTTCCTGATAAATTGACTTACATGTTAATATTTTAATATGTGTATTCCTTTTCTCTATCTTTGAAGTTATAGTTACTTGATTTTAGTTAATATTAATACTAATGAACATACTTTCATGTTTATAAGCTTCTCAGTTATTCTAGGAAATTCCCATTTCACATTTAGTTCATTCTTATCAATTTCATGGAGTAGAAAGCTATGCATACCAGGAGCAAGAAAAAAAGGGTATTTTTTTAACTTCATCAAAGTGATGGTAACATTAGAGCTTTTACATTGTTTTAAATATGCCACTTCCACATTTGTTCAGACACAATCATTGTGCAAAGGAGATGGTTTTGCTAGCTGATGAGACTAAGAAATATGATTTGCTGTCTTCAAATGGAGGGTTTTTTTTTTAATAACCAAATGTCTCTACTATGCTGTGGGAGGGAAAAGAGAAAAAGCACCCTTCTCTGTGGATATGGTACTGTGGATTGGTCACTGATAACCCAACTACTGTAATCATTTCTGTGAGGCAGGAAGTACATGTCTAAGAACGCCATCATCCCCACACCTCCCTCCCCATTGTCTCTTGAGGGACTGTTTTTTTCTCCTCTGACATGTGAGGGGCTCCATTTAGACCAAAGTACCAGGGATGTACACAGATTTCTGAACATTGTTAGACTTTTAATCACTTGGGAGTTTTGTCATCATTAAAAGTATTGCATGTCTGTTGCTCCTCTTTAAAAGCCAGTATTCAGCACCATTCTGGTTAAGGAAGCATTAAGTTGCCACCAGTTGAGCAAGACCCCCAATTTCCTGCTGTCAGTTTCTATGCCTTTTATAGAAATCAGTTGTTCTTGGCTACATTGGTGAGACAAGTTAATTCTCTATTTTTATCTTTTTTCTCTCTGCGGGGTGGAGAGCTTATCTGTTGGGCTTTGGGAATGCAGAATTGCCAGAAATCCTCCTGATCAGTTGATTGTTGAGGGAAGCAATGGAATAGCCAGCTTTTAGGCCTTTTCCTTCCAAAGCTCTGTCTTGATCAAATATAATTACAAATATAATAGGGCTTTCAACTCTGAAAATGGTAGGAAATTGTTGATATTTGACAACTAAACCAGTATGCTATTCATGGTTGGTTTCTGGGCCTCCAAATGTACAGTTTGGGGGCTTCAGAGAGGAGAGAAATTATTCAGGCTTGAATTTGTGTGTGTCTGTGCATGCGTGCGCATGTGTGCGTGTGTGCATGCATGCACCCGCATCAATCATTCTGAAGACAGAACCTGCAGCTTTGTGACTTGTGTGCTTGGCAAGCACTCTATTGTTGAGTTACATCCTCAGCCCCAAGCTTGAATTTTTTAAAGAAATTTTTCAATGCTTACTTTGTCCATTGCTTTTTGAAACAGTATCTATGGATATTGATGAAACTTAACAAGAATCTATGTTCCTTGCCTATTTTTTATATTCTTTAGTGGTTCATAGTAGTTCCTGTATGAGAGCCATTGTGTATTCATACGCTTTTTATTGGTGATCAGAGTGGTACCTTGGGTTTAGGTGGTTTGTTTTAATTCCTTAGGTGCAGCTATCTTCTTTGAATTTAAACACTACAAGCCTAAAAAAAGGTTTACCAGCACCAAGTGTTTTGCTTTCATGGAGATGGATGAAATAAAACCTGGACCAATTGTAATAGAACTGTAAGTGACGTGCATGTGGGATTTGTACTATTCTAATGGCTACTGGTATGTTTGTCTTTTAAACTTAACCTTAGAATACATCAATTATCTAAACAATAATCTCTTTCTATTGTGGTTACAGATACAAGAAACCCACTGACTTTAAACGAAAGAAATTACAACTGTTGACCAAGAAACCACTCTATCTTCATCTACATCAAACATTGCACAAGGAATGATCCTGATATGAATAACCTGGAACATCTGTGAATTTTACCACTCAGTAGAAACCATCATAGCTCTGTGTAGCATATTCCCCCTCAACAGGCAAGAAATGAGCCGTGCCCAAGGGAGCCCTTTGCAAAGCTGTACCAGAGAACTCAAAAGTTCAGCATATTACTGACATATTAGACTCCTTTGGATACAGGTTTATTGTAGATTTTGAAACATGTTTTTACTTTTCTAACAATCTATTTTCTAAATACCATTGCGCCTACTCTGCTTCCTGGAACAATACTGTTGTAGCAGGTGTGCTCATCTTCAAAACTTAATACAGCAATAAGAATGTGCTAAGAGTTTACACATCTGCTCACTTTCTCTCCCATTTGCTGTTTTGATTTAACTTCAGATTCTCGTTTGAGGTGGGTGGGACAGTACCAAACTACTTTTTGGAAGAATTGGACCTGTTATACTGCCTTGGAAGGTTAATCTGGAAGTTTACAGGTTGCTTCTTAAATGTGGCCTAACTTTAACCTGACCAACAGTTCTGACTAGAACTTGTGTGCCTTGGCCAGATAAGTATCCTAGATGAGCGTGTTTCCCAGTTTGTAGCTGTGATTTTTTTTTTTTCTGGATGACCAGATTGTCTCTCTTAAAAGTGAGCATATTTGTAGTCAATGCTGATTAGCTATCTTCTACACCACATTGATATTCTTCCTGATAGATTATAGGGTTAACATTGGAACTATCTCAGAACAATTATACTTTTAGATGGATTTACAATGTCTCATAAACCATATAAACTAAAATCAAATACTAATGTGATACTGCAGGAACTGACTTTTTCTGGCAATTGATCATAAAATCTGAAATCCTACATACCTCTTCTTAGAATGATGGGTATGCAAAATCTGAAAAGATAGTCTATTTTTTTTAATATAGGTAGATAGGATTGCCATTTATTTCCTATTTAGATATACTGACATCCATCCATATGAAAATTTGCAGCTTTTTACTGTTATTTACTTTTGGCTTAATGATGCATAAAATTTTCATAGTACACATGAGGTGGATATTTGATACACAGAACATTAAATTTGTGGTGGGCTTTCTGTGGGTCAATATAGAACCCACATATTTTAATACCTTTAAATGAACAGTGCATGAGGGGAATGCAGTGTCAGTATGTGGCCTATTTTTGAACTAGTGTAATAACCCGTCAATATGTTTGTGTTTTTTTTAAATAAGTAATCACAGTTGTTTTAACCCTTGCACTTCAAGAGAGTTAGTATCTTATTTTCAGTTGTCTGTTAGGTCAATTGTTTACTAGATGAATGTTAATAAAAACTATATGAGCCTGAAAGAATTCTCAACCAAATTTAGTCTTGTCTTTCATCTTGATTGGATTAGTTCCAAGTGCTAAGATAATTCAGGCCACAATAGCTCTTGATTTACTTTGGTAGATTACTGCGTTGCTCACTCAGTTCTTAAACTCGAGTTGTCAGGTCCTCTGGCTAAAGGCGCCTCCGCAGTCAAAAACCATGTCTCCTCCATGTAAACTTTAAGGTGCTTGACGGTACTGTGCACCCTGTGGAGTATTTAGTACCTTTTGTTTGATGTTATTCTTAAGACCTAAAAACGAACCCCTTAACCTTACTATTAGTCTCTTCAACTCTCATCTCCTGCATGGGGAGCAGGAAATACTTTTCTTTCTTTAACCATTATATTAAAATAAATCCTTGATAAAAATTAACAAAACAAAAAACTTAATATTAAAATATAGCAAAACTCATGTATTTTCTTTCCTCATAACCAAAGTGATCATTTATATCCACCTAAGTATGGTTTATATGAACTGCAGGTGCCTTTCATTCATACTGGAAGATGCTAAATTGAACCCTGTGAGATGAACTTAGTTTTAATTCAAAACTCAATGAAATGATAAAAAAGATAACATCTTGAAGCAGTTGGCATAGAATATCCCACATCCTAAGTTATTTTAATTAACAGTTAGGGCGGGGGTGGGGGAGAGTCAGGCATTGGATAATAACCACAACTGTAGTAGAACTTCTTTCAGGCTGAAAAACTGCTGATTCATAAAAGACGATTTTAGCCACTCAGCCCTGAAACCCAATTATGTGTAGGTGCCTTCTGAAATGTCTGATTTTACTTGGCGGGGGGGTGGGGGGGCAATGTTCTTGACCTCATCCGTACATTGGCAGCTTTTTCTGCTTAAGTGGTGCAGTTGGTGGATGAGGAAGAGGCAGTTATAGGTTCGTTTTGAACTACTTAGATGAGCTACACGTCTTGCTGATTCTCCTATGATATAAGCTATAGATATCAAAGTGGCTTTAAAGGGGAAAACATTCTGATTTTGAATTTAGAAATGAATTTACCTTTCTTACTTTCCTACATAGCATGCCTTATTTAAATGTCACTTAACGTTTTAAGTTAGTGGAGCATGTGGCACATGCCTGTGTTAGCACTCAGGACTCTTGAGGCAGGAAGATCCCAAATTCAAGGACTGCCTGGGATACACTTACTTAAGTGATACTCATCTCAAAAGAAAAATAAAGTCCATTAACATCAGAAGTTATATTAACTTGCACAGTGTTTTGTAGCAGTCAACACACACACACATATATAAAAGTTGTATTTGTGGCAATTTTCATGGTTAAAAATGAAGTTTTCCTTTCAGATATGACTTCTGCTGCTTCTGCTTTTCTTCTTCACAGTGCTTCTTAATCAAATCCAGGGTCTTGCACATGCTAAGGCAGCACCGTACCACTGAGTTTACCATTAGACCTTGGTTTTTTGAGATGGTGTCGTGCTGTTAGCTCAACTTACCCTAGACTTGTGGTCTTCCTGGCTTTGACATCCAGAATACTGGGATTACAAGTATATACCATAACACCTAGCTAATTATTTTTATGTTGATTCATTAAGATTGAATTTTCATGGAGGATCCATATATTCAATTAGGAATTTTGACTTGTCTTTCAGAGATCCTGTTTTCTGAATTACTGTTTCATATTGAAGCTTTTCTTTCCTTTTTGAATAGCATTCTTAGTGGATTAGGTTTCAATAATATTACCTTATAGGACTTCAAAAAATGGAATTAATATTGTCTAGCATTGTGAAAGTTTTAATTTAATCTAAACCTTTTTTTTTTTTTGGTTGTGGGGCCTGAACTTGGCCTGGGCGCTGTCCCTCAGCACTTCAGCTTAAGGCTAGCGCTCTACCACTTGAGCCACAATGCCACTTCCAGCTTTTTTTTTTCTACTTATGTGGTGCTGAGGAATCGAACCTAGGGCCTCATGCATGCAAGGCAAGTGCTACCACCGAGATACCTTCCCAACCCCTAATCTAAATCTTAAACCTCTTAAAGTATGCTGCTGAAGTTATTGTAATTAAGACATCCGAAGAGCTAGTTTTTATTTTTATTTTATCATTACTTAGTGGTAACTGAGTTTGAACTCAGGGCCTCCCATTCTTACCACTTCAGCCAGGCTTCCAGCCCAAGAGATAGTTTTTAGAAACCTTGTTTTAAAAGCAATATAGTAATGGGTACAAAACTAGGATAGAATTTAGTCTGATTGTTGACACATTTTAATATTCCTTGAAAAGGAGTGGCAAGGTAGTGGAAAAAGAGTAGACTGTTAACATTTTTAAAAGGAATTTCCTTACTGTGGGGTCATAGCACGTCATTTTCATGTTGCTGCTAAGTACCTTCATTGCAATAAAGTTAAAAGCAATTAAGACATCTGGTCAAATAATTCTTGCTACTATGAATTCATCCTCATAAAACCATCCTTAAATAAGCAGTGAGAATCATAAGAAACCACATGAATGCCAGGCCAGTAGAGTGACTGATTTCTGTGAATTGAAGGAAGAAATTCCTTATAGTGTTCACAAGTGATTTTGAGGTTGAACCTCCACAGCAGCGAGTAACACTGAGCTGTTGCCAAGTCACCGGTCTTCAGTTCTGAGCACCTGCCTTACATGTTTCCCAAATGGCACACATCTCATGATAATCCAGTGAATGAACAGACACTGGGGAAATATTAATAAACAAAATTTTATGAACTATTACTACAAAGAACTTCAGCAACAAGGAGGATAAAGTTTATGATCTTTCAGTAAACATTTTCAGCGTAACAGTCTGCGACCAGATATTGGAGGAAAAATAAGATCAAGCTGTAAACACCATTGCTCTGTATTCAACTGGTACACACTAAAAATAGGATAATGGAAACACATGTTCTTAAAGCATTTCCACAGGAAATGTTCATATTTTTGACATTGTAAATCATTTAGCAATTACATATGCTACATTAACTAAACACAGGTATTCTTTATTGCACATTTCAAAGTTGGAAAGACACTCTAGCATAAGAGGTGATTTTCTTTAGAGAGGAAAATATTTTTTGTTTGGCTCAAAAATGCACACTGCCAAGGCAGCTTAGTTTTAAAAACCTTTTAAAATAAACTTTGATTTTAAAGCCAATGAAATCCTTTATCATAGTGAATAGTATACAGTCCACTCTCTCTCTGATTGAAGTGTCAGAGGTCATAGTTACGGGCTCTGTTTTAAAGCCTGAGAGCAGTCCTGGCTACTGCCCTGAGAGGCAGATGGTGTCTCATCTCCGGAACCCGAAGGCAGTGAGTCTCTTGCAGTAGGTGGTGGTGGGTAATCCTGGGGACCATAGGTTGGGGGTGGTAATCGGGCACTAGGGATAAAGTACTCCCTTGGACCAAGTGAGCCTAATGGTCTAAATGGTGCATGTCCTGGTAAAAATTCCCGAGGGTCACGAGGCAGGTCCCGTGTCCCAGGTGTGACGCCGGCCGGTGCATATTCTCTTAAGCCTAGTGGTGGACGGATACCAGGAACTGCAGAACAAAATTACATAAGCCATTTTTAAATATCAGGGAACATACTAAAACTAAAATTACTAAAAGTATATTAATATATTCTCTATGGTCTCCCGACTCCAGAAAGTCAAGTGGTGGGCATGCTCACTAGCTGAGGCAAATTCTGAAGCTCAGCAAGTCTTACTTCCAGCATATGGCCAGCAGCCACTAATCAACACATGGGACTTAACATGGCTCAAGTCTAAAGCTTGTTTGCTTTACATCTCAAATAACAGTTCTATTTGTTCATGATGGATGATGAAATAAGAGTTTATTCCAAAAAATGAATTTTGATAAAGGAAATATGAATGTTTACTACTATTATCAATAAAAATGATTTATGTAGCCAGGCACTGGTGGCTCACACCTGTAATCCTAGCTACTCAGGAGGCTGAGATGTAAGGATCATGGTTCAAAGCCATCCCGGGCAGGAAAGTCTGTGAGACTCTTTATCTCCAATAAACCACTAGAAAACTGGAAGGGCTGCTGTGGCTCAAGTGGTAGAGCACTCGCCATGAGCAGAAGAGCTGAGGGACAACGCCCAGGCCCAGAGTTCAAGCCCCAGGACCAACCCCCCCAAAAATAAATTTACATAGTAAGTATCTCAGCATGCTCCTAACATCTGCTAACAAAAGGTACCTACACTGCAGAAAAAGGCCTTCTAGTTACACCTAAATAAATGCAGCCTTCATCAGGCCCCTGTTACATTGTCCTTTTTAAAAGCTCAGTGCTATATACTCTCAAGGTGAGGAGAGCAACTTTAACCTTATTGCTTGTGCTTCTATCTTTATGCTAAAAAGGTTGTACACATCTGGAATTAAAAGTCATCTTAAGTTATGGTACATGTCATTCAGCTCCCATCCATTGCAGTCCATAGCCATTAGTATTAAAAATCTACAGAAGTAACATTTCTTGCTTTCTATATAAACCCCTCTGTTTTGTCTGCAAAAGGTAACTATTGCACAGCTCAGTATAGGAAGATTATGTAATGCTCTATGTATACTAAGAAATTTGGGGGAAAGATAAAATGTACTCAGTCAGCTTTATTCTTGTATTGCAAAGCCCTACAATAGCAACTGTTTTAGCAAGGAATAAAAAGAAAAGGTGAATATGCTTTACAGTAAATTAATACTGTTCAGATCATCATACCAAACGGTGGAGGGAGTGGCCGAGGCCCAAAAGGCCCACAGAGCTGAGGAGGTGGTCCATATCGAATGGGTGGTGGTAGAGGACCTCCTATGGGAGAACTCATCAGAGGAACCCCCGGGAAAGGAGGGGGCCCTTTTGTAGCCATATTAACCTGCAAGAGACCATTCCTATTTTGAAATTCTTTGACATGTCAGAGCACCAACACCTGAAAAGCAAAAACACAGTTGAAGCAGACACCAGCAACCCGTCCAAAGAGCAAAAACTGCAACAAAACTCCACCCCCTTTCCCAGCACCAGGTTCCCACTGTCAGTTCAGAGAGGTTAGAAGGATGCCACCCAAGTAAGCAGGCTCATTGAACATGTACTACTACTGTCTGTACAGGAAAAGGGAAAATGAGAAACTCAGCTCATTAAGAGGTGATTTCTAAGAAAAGCTATGCCCTACACACTAAGATTTCCAAAAGAGTTTCTTCATGTCCCTCTCATCAACACAATAGCTCATTTCTTGCTATGTTAAGAAAGCAAAAAATAAAAGAACGAAAATCCCTTCTTTATATATTATGACCATCAGTACTCAAGAGTACTTTCAATAGGCCTTTCAGATATTAATTAAATGCTCACATGATGCAATCAAAGCATGATGATCTTATTTTAAATATGAGGGACAGAGGCAAGACCTTAACTGAAGTTCACACAGCACATAAAAGGCTGAGTTGACACTCAATGCCAGGTTTGACTCAAAGCATATGCTCCTCCTACTTCTGCATCTAGTAAAGTGGTTGCTACTCTCTTATTATAAAGCCTTTCAGTCAGAAGCATCTTGGGTCTTATATGAACTGCACTTGGATAAAAAGCTCTCTTAAGACATACATGTCCCAGGAGTTGGAACTTGGAAGTATTTCCCAACACAATGTTATACACATGAATTAGCAAGGCAAATATTTACTTTCACTCACTAGTAAATTATATGGGACACTAATCTTTTCTATGGGAAACTGGGTTGGAAACTAATAAGCATCTTGATTTCAGCACTGAGTAGCACTGAGAAGTATAATCCAAAGACTTAGCAGCTACAATAGCTACACAAGTTTCAAGAGAATACAATTGTATACAATATTCACTTTGAGCAGACATTTTGTTAACAATCTAACTTTTCAAGCCTTGCCTAACATTCAAATGAAGAAATTTTTAAGTAGCATACTTCCAAACACAAAGTAATGGTGAATTATATAATTTATAACCAATTCATTTTACCTCAGCATGCAACACAAAGCACACAATATTAAGTTGGAGTGGACTTTTCACATTCTATAGTGAATTACAAGTAGATGCTCTAAACTGGTTAATCATCTAACCAAAACAAGAGAAGAAACCAACAAACCAACCAGTTCAACGCTCCCAAATTAAGGGGAAGAGTAATATCAACACTGCCATGCAAGTTAAAAGAAATGGAGATTAATCTCATGCTTCTTATATCCTTTAGAAATACACCAAATAAAAACCCAGTTCAATCCTCAACTTCCTTTTATTTATTTTTTTATTTTTTTTGTCGGTTGTGGGGTCTGAACTCTGGGCCTGGGCACTGTCCCTCAGCTCTTCAGCTCAAGGCTAGCACTCTACCACAGCGCCACTTCCGGCTTTTGCTGCTTATGAGGTGCTGAGGAATTGAACCCAGGGCCTCAGGCATGCAAGGCAAGTGTTCTACCACTGAGCCACCTTCCCAGCTCCAATCCTCTGCTTCTAAGTACTCACTGTGACTGGATGCTCAGCCAAAGAGACCAGGCTAGGAACTGAGGGGCCTTCAAGCTCTTGGGGGGCAGTTTGCTTTTTTAAAAAACAAAAGAGGATAGTACAAACCGAACATACAAACTGGAGATGAGGTAAAGAGAAAATGCTATAAGAAAACCTACATGTTCTGTCACTGTTATAATCTAGTGGGAAAACCTATGTGTTCAGGCACTGTGGTAATTTAGCAGGAACATAGAGCTTACCTTGCCTTCATCTATCGTCTTGGCCGGAGAGGAGCTTCTGGAGCTGCTGTTCATAATGGGAGCAGGACCAGATCCTGGGTCTATGGGAGGCCAGAAAACTGACTCAGACTCACTCTGATCTATATACTATGAGAATACATTTTGTGCCCATGAAATTACTTAGGTCCCTTACCAGAGGCTGAGGGTTTCCCAGATGCCTCAGATGACCATCGAGGACGAGGTAAAGGCCCATCCACTGTTCCTTGAGAAAGAAATATAGAGCCCTGGCATGTATGTTTTTAAGAACTAACTGGACACAACACAGCTCAACTCTTAACTAGAAAAGGCAACATTAAAAATAGATCTCCTGCTGGATATGGTGGTACATGCTTATTACCCCAGCACTCAGAGGAGACTGAAGCAGGATCACAAGTTCAAGACCAACTTGTGCTACACAGAAAGACTGTTTCTAAAAAGGAGGAAGGTATCCCACAATACAGATGAGTAACAATTTGTTGTCTGTACAGACTCAAAAGAAAACAAGAACTGCCATGGATTGAAAGATAATAAACACTGCATATTAATAATACTAGTCCTATAATTCAGAGTACCAGCTGGACGTGGGTGCTTACAACTGTAACCCTAGCTGCTCAAGAGACTGATTCTGGGAGGTTCACACAGTTCCAGATCAGCCTAGAGAAGAAGGTATGCCACTCTTATCTCAACCAATAAAAGCTGGGTACAGTGGCATGCACCTGTCATCCCAGCTGTGCAGTAAGCATATATAGGCTGCTAAGGGCAGTCCAGGGGAAAAGGAAGACCCTATTTAAAAAAGAATGAAAGCAAAAAAGGGATAAGGATGTAGCTCAAGTAGTAGAGTGCCTGCCTAGCAGGCACAAGGCCCTGAGTTCATACCCCAGTACTGAAGAAGAAAAAGTACTGTCCTATATTTCAGGTTAGCACTTTTTTTTTGCAGAAAATATGTACTCTGGCTCTAAGAGCTGTTAAGCATTTCAATTGCAGTAATGAGTAACAAAAGTATATATGCTATGTAAACTATAAGGTTTTAAGGCTATTTTTTACAATATTCATTGAGCAGCCCCATAGAGATTTAAAAATAAATATACTTCCCAGTATATAACTTAAAAAACAAGAGGCCTCTCGGAATATGCATAGTTTCTGTTGTACAGTAGATCTTGCAATAAACTATTCATTAAGCTAAATTAAAACATTTTCTTCTATGTCCTAATTGACCCAAGTTATAAAATGCTAAAAAGAAAGAAAACCCTTGAAACAGTTTATTGCCAAGTACTATGAGAATGCTCACCAAATTCACTTCTAGGCACATCTCTTCGACTGAGAGTGGCAGAGAGCGGTCTCCCTGGTGGCTCTGCAGTGAGGGGAGGGGAACACTCTCCCCCACTCACAGGCGATGGGCCAAAAGAACCATTCTGGCTCAGTGGACCTGAAAAAATGCTTTGTTACTACTTTTAGACCGTCTTTCTTTTATTTCATTTAGTAACTTCTTTGGATTATTTCTAGGCATAGAAATAAATAGTAATTTACAGACATAACCAAAACAGATTGCAGCACTTGGCAAAATTCCCCTACCTCTTCGTGGAGGGTTCTGTGTATTTGGTCTTCCTGGCATTGGTTTTACAATCACAGGTTCATCTTGTCGCATTGCCATCTTTTGAGACATTTCCAATAATCTTGAATATTTGAAAAAATGGACTTAAATATACAATATCAATCTTTATCACTTAGCACAGCTGTAAAGCATTCTAAAAGCACTAGAAATGTAGATATCAAAATCACATACTTGTGTCGCAGGTTAGCAGCTTCCCTTTTCTCTTCAGCCATAGCCCTTTCTGCAGCACGGGCTTTGAGCTGTTGAAGGGAAAGTATTCAAATTCAGATGTGATAAGCAAGGCAGAAAACAAAGAAGAAGAAGAAAATAAATACTTACCCAGTTATCATGAGCTTTTTTTTCATGAGTAGCAATCTGAAAAAAAAAAAAAAAACTCACATCAAAAACGTATTTAGAGTCAGGCACTGATAGCTCATGCCTGAAATCCTAGCTACTCGGGAAGCTAAGATCTGAGGATCACAGTTCAAAGCCAGCCCAGGCAAGAAAGTTCATGAGACTCTCATCTGCAACCAGCAACTAGCCAGAAATGGAGCCCTGTTTCAAGTGGTAAAGCACTAGCCTTGAGCAATTAAACTCAGAGACAGCATCCAGGCTGAATCCAAGTCCCAGTACCAACACACACATACACACACACACACACATACACACACACACACCCACATACATACACACACACACACACACACACACACACACACTCATTATAGCCTTTGTAATTTCCTGTATTAGATATCAAAGAATTCTAAAACTACAGTACAGTAAAATTTTTACCTGGTTCTTAAACGAGCGCTCAGTTTTTTGTAATTCTTCCTCCATTTCTTCAATTCTCCGCCTAATATACATGGTTTTATCAGTTAAAACACAACTGAATAAAATTTGAAACAATCTGCAAATTTTTCATTTACTCTTAACAATTGCACTTTTAAAGATTTCAACAGACATGTAGTTCATACAGTTACAATAAAAGCATAACATGATCAAAACTAATCATAGTTTCCTTGTTTATCACTTAAAGCAGAAGAATTGAGTTGATAAATTACAATTTTTGTAACTGTTCCTCAGTATATTGTCAAATACTCTGCTAGGAATATCTTCTTCCACACAGCCTTATTTTTCCCTTTACTATATCCAAAGGCAATTGCACAAAGCTGTGATTACTGGATCTATTAAATGGTACAAGTACTTGAATAGTTTTTTTTTCACATATTGCACATTAAATTGCTTTATATTACCTTAACTCTGTACATCTACTTACAATAACAAAAAATTATTTTTAATTACCTCAGTAGACAAAAACCTCCAAACTGTTAATATGAACCAAGTTTCTACAGTATTTCCAATATTGGGTCGAAGTAAATTCCAGTTAACTTTTTCTCAGTCAACTAAAATGTATTTTTTTCCTGTATAAACGGAGTATATTTACCATTGCTTTATTCTTCTATGCTATATTCTTCTACATAAAGTAAAGGTAATTTAAAATGAAGTGAACACAAGTTATCCCAAGCCACTGGCCCCTCTTTAAAAGTTGAACTCACTTGTAAGTTTTGACTTCCTCTGCAGCCAAAACCACCTTCTCATCTGCAGCTGACAACCGCTGCTCTCTTTCCTGCCGCTCATACTCTTCTTGACTCAGTTTCCTAAAATAAAACCAGCTGTCAAGTGAAAGTTCTCTTTCCTTACAGAAGTCGCTCTGAATGCTCTGTCCAAATGTCATTTCCCCTCCTCAAAAGTGCAAACATAAAATCATAGGAAAGAATTCAAACCTGCTCTGTCGGAACTTGGACTCTGGCTTTCTGACAAATCACCTCTCTACATAATTCTCTAGCCACTAGTAAACAAAACATATCTAAAAAATAAAACACCACTGTGCTCCATGAGTAAGTCTCTTATCCTTGGGATGATGAAAAGTCCCTTTATTTCAATGTGGAAAGCCAGGACTGACCAACGTAATTCAAATGAACTTTACTAGGAGAAGAGAGGGAATATTTACTTCTCTTATTCTGCCATGGGAAGGGCACTAAATACTTTTCTTATTTTGTCACTGAAAAACTATTGCTCAATCCAAGACTAGTACATTTTAAACATATTGTCAGTCAAAGAAATCCTTTCAGGATATGTCTTCTAAATATGAAAATAACCACAAAACATTTGCACACTATTTCAATGGGATTATGATTAAGAAAAGGCATATCTGAGCACTTGGAAATATCTCTCACTCAGAAAACTAGTCAGTCCCAATCACGAAGGTCAAGTGTGAACTACTATCTTACTAATCTTTATAGACTGTAAAGACAGCAGTATTCGATGTATTTTAAATGCTCTTTTCTGAATCCTGACACTAGGGAGGCTGAGGTAGGTGGTCATGAGTTTTAGAGCAGCCTATCATACCTAGTGAGGCTGTGTTTCAAAACAAAACAAAACAAAATCTACTTTGTTTATATTTGTATTACCTTACACACAATTCCGATTCAAAAGATAATAACTTGAAATTTAATTTTGTACTAGTCACAAGCAGAATTTTAAAAGTTAAGAGAAAGAATTACTAACACCAAGGAGAAATTATTCAATTTTTTATAGCTTCTCATTCAATACTTTGGCTAATACTTTATGTGTGACTGTAACGTACTAGTTAACTTGTAAGATGCTAAAGATAAAAGTACAGATAAAGCATTATTCTTGCACTGAGAGTTCAATTTTATGGATAAGAGATACATGCAAAAACAAAATAATCTCTCCCTGACTCTGGTTTAAGAAAGAATGTGAGAAGACAATGTCCAAACAGAAATGTACTCATTAATTGACTTATTTAACTGTAACTGCTCTGTACACCACCTTTATAATAAGAATAAAACATGTTTTCAAAAAAGAATGAGAAAAACTAAGGCTTATAAAAAGACCAAATGTGGCATGGTGGTACGGTCATGTAATCCCAGCACCAAGTATACAGTAAGACCCTGTCTCAAACTCCCGAGAGTTTTGTTTCCAATAATGGAGAATAAGTTAAGTCAAAATACTATGAACAATCAGAACATCTGGAAAAAAAATAATGTCCTTGAAGGCATAGAGCTAATAAGGCAGTGAAGACATGTGTTTGTGTTCAAGAAGAATAGAAAAAAAGAATCTCAGAATCACATGCAAGGCTGACATTTCTATTTTTATTTTTTTGTCATTTTAGGGGCTGGGCGCTGTCCCTCAGCTCTTCAACTCAAAGCAAGTACTCTACCACTTGAGCCACAGTGCCACTTCTGGTTTTCTGGTCGTTTATCGGAGATAAGAGTCTCATGGACTTTCCTACCTGGGCTGGCTTTGAACCACGATCCTCAGATCTCAGCCTCCTGACTGATGCCCGGCAAGGCTGACATTTTAAGCCACTTTTTCTCTACATATTGAAGACAACAATGCAGAGATAAAGAGTCTAAAGATAGCCTCCTGGACCAGTGGCATTGAGGTTGTTAAGGGGAGGTACATTTTAATAAGTACAGGATGTATGTTGTGAGCTTTAAAAAGGTGAGCCAAACAATCTATGGCTTCACCAAGCTTAATCAGCAGAGTAACTAAAAATATTCCCACAATCCAAAAGAAAGCAAGCCAAGCACAGTGGTGCAAATAGTCATCCTACCACTTGGGAGGTGAGTCTAAGTAATCTTGATCCCATTACCATCACTCCCACACACACACATACACACAGAGTCAAACATGAACACAGAGCCGGGCACTGGTGGCTCATGCCTGTAATCCTAGCCACTCAGGAGGCTGAGATCTGAGGATCGCAGTTCAAAGCCACCCCGGGCAGGAAAGTCCATGAAACTCTTATCTCCAATAAACCACCAGAAAACTGGAAGTGGCGCAGTAGCTCAAGTGGTAGAGTACTCACGTTGAGCTGAAGAGCTGAGGGACAGCGCTCAGGCCCAGGTTCAAGCCCCATGACTGATTAAAAAAAAAAAATGAACACAGAATAGGCCATCAAACAACAAATCCTTTGTTGACTTTAGAAAATTCACTCAATCAACTGTAAAGAAAATTAAAGTTTGAGATATTTCATAAGAAAGGGACACTAGAGACAGGTGATTAATTATGGTATGGGTCTAAACTGAGAGTGGCTGAGGAAAGATAGCAAAGAAACAGAATGGATTTTCCAAGAGAGAAGTTGAATAAACCAGCTGTTAGTACCTACAACTACTTCCCTGCATATAAATTACAGAAACATTATCTGACTGCTGATTAGAGCAGAAAGAAGCTATGGGAAACAAGTCACAAAGGAAGACCAATATCTATCACAAATGGAGGTGGGAGCGTAAAAAAATCTTAATGAAGTATGGCTCACACCTATATTCATAACAACTCAAAATCTCTTCTAGCTAGGCTTATGTATTTGTTGTCTCAGCTAAGGGAGAAGTATAGATACAAGGATCATGGTCCAGGATGGACAAGACATAAGTTGGAGAGCCTATTCAAAAATAACTAATCCACTGAGTGGTAATGATAATGTAAACAATAATGTAAATGTAAACAACATGGAGTGAAACCTTACTTTTGCAGAGCCATTTCCTTCTGCTGGTAAAGTTCATTAAGAATCTCAACTTTCTGTCTCAGAGTTTTGCACTCATCTTCCAGTCCAACTTTAGTGAACTGCAGTGTACTGCGATCATCTTCCAATTTCTTTATTTGTTCTATAAAGGATAAAACAGTTACCTTTATATGTGTGCAGAGGACTGGAGAACTTGGTTGAGCTAAGTGCTGGGTGGGTTGAGAAGCATGAAAGGAAGAACCTAGTCTATATCTTCCTAGTAAAATTTTAAATCTCTCCAGCATGTGGGAATTTCTTCTCAAGAAGAACCTACCTTCCAGGGTATATATAGTGGACATCGAGGCTCTTAGTTTAAGTTGTAAAAGTTTTAGATCCTCTTCAGCTACTGATATTGCAGTTTGTGTCTAAAAATTGTAGAAAACAGATGTATTCTTACAAGTGAGGCATGGTAAGAATTCAGACACTAATTCAACTCTATAAAAAGGACCTACCCGAGAAACATCCATCATCTGCTTAATTTGATTTTTTATCTTCTCACTCCGGCCACCTGAAAAACATAGGTAGTAACTGCTTTTTCTTCCCTTGCTTTTTAAACTCGATATTTTCTTGACTTCCTTAAAACTAAATAATGATTATGTTTAAACGCTGGAGAAAAAAACAACCAACCAACAAAACTGACTTTAAAAGAATTACAAACTTAGAAGAAAAAGTTCTGTTTGTACAATAAAAAATGTCCCTAAGCAAGAAGCCATGTGTAAGAATAAAGTCCTTTCTTCTCTCTCAGGCATAACTCAACCTGGGCAAGTGTTTTACTTAAGATTCACTTTTCTGTTCTGCCCTTGAATCTTCTATGAGGTGTGGTTTAAAGCATTCATCAACCCAAGAAACAACATCGGGAGTTACTTTCCTCATAAGTACACACACTACTCTCTAGCTTCTGGCCACCCTACACCTCGGCCTTGATAGCATTAGATTATGATTCTAACCCCAGGACTTTGAAATGAGTTGTGGGCCTTAGAAGCACAGAAGTATAGACACGTGAGTATTAATACACTATCTCCATAAACATAAGAAGAAACAAGTTTCTCCAACAGTGTTCAATATTTACAGGTAAAAGACATGACTAATGCAGTTCTGGCATAGGTATCTAGTTCTCAATGGGATGAGAAAATACAGTCAGTGCCTTCTGTATGCTTAACTGCCACACTACAACTCAGCAGCCACTTCTGCCAAATGGAGACAGACGTATCTATATGTCCAGTGATAGTGTTTACAACTTTAAAGCTTAAGAAGATATTCATCCAGCTGACACATAGAATCAGTGTACTTAAACATGAGGATAAAAAGAGTCCAACCTTCCTGAGACTGTTCTTACCTCCCACCTCTCCATTAGCCAATTCATCTGACTCATTTCCTCCTTTATTTTGATCCTCCGATTCAAATTCACACTCTAACCGATTCAATTGTGTAATACAATTAGTCAAAGCCTAAAAAAGAAGCACAAATGGGCAAGAGCTTCTAAATTTTAATTTGGTATATTTCGGAAGAATCTGTGATGCTAAGCATGCATAATGAGAATAAACTTACATTAATATTATCATCTTTATGAGTAAGAGCTACTTCTAAATCTTTCTGGGACTTCTCAAATGATTTGATTTGCTCACTGAGCTCAGCATGTGATTTGCTCCAGTCTTCAATTTCTTGCTGCAACTGAAAATTAAAAACACATGAATTATTATGGGTTAGATATTTTGCATGGGAGACATCAGGATCATGTAAATGAGACAGAAGAACAGGAAAACAAGCTCTTCTTGGTCACTAATGAGGGACTAAGACCTGCATTATGGGAGTCAGTAATAAAGTAATAAAGTCAAGAGTTCTCAAACAGGTTGGCCCCATTTACTGTATCCTTCAGAAAACTGTTTCTAATTCAAATACTTTATTTCCAATAGGAATGACTGGCCCCTTACTGAGTACTAAATCCAGACACCAGGTCAAATAACCTCCTTAGCCAGAAAAGCAGTAATTATTCAGAGTGTCTTTGTTCTAAAAAGCCCTTAGAGATTACTCAAGTTATACTGATTGGTGTTTGAAAACATAAAGACTAAACACTGAGAGCTGTAGTAACTTGTACAGAGCAGAAAAGCACAGAACAGACAGGAAAAAATCTAAGAACAGGTTCCTCCATGAATACTATCTTTCCTTAAAAGCAATTCTGAGTAGAGATCACTGAGATGTAATGACAACTGTTTTTATAGTTTATACTATCCATGACATGAACTCTTCTTTACCTGCTGTTTCTTCTTCTTTAGTCTAGCATTTTCTTCTTGAACCCGATGGCATTCAGACTTTACTTTCTCTTCACTGAGCTTAGCTTCACTGAGGGCAATTTGAACCTAATGTAAAACACTCTAATTACTAAGATAATTCCAAAGAAAAATAAGTTACATTTTCCCAAACATCACAGTTTTCATCTTTGCACATTTAGGCACACATGAAATCTGTGCTCTTTTTCAAAACAAAAAGTATTGATATTGTACAGGAATATGGGCAGCTTTACCTCTGAAAATTCTGAGGCACTCACTGAAATAACATCTTTTAACTTCTCGATAGATTTCTTTTTTTCCAGTATCTGCCAGGTGAAAATATAATACAAAACACATTGAATTTCAGTAAAATTATGTACATATAAGCTAACATGAAGAAATATTACCAAACATATCTTGAGCCATCCCATGCATTCCAGATAAAAGAAATCCAAGCTTGTGCCGGTGGCTCACGCCTATAATCCTAGCTACTCAGGAGGCTGAGTTCGGAGAATTGTGGTTCAAAGCAGCCTGGGCAGGCAAAGTCATGAAACTCTTATCTCCAATTAAACCACCAGAAAACCAGAAGTGGCACTGTAGCTCAAGTGGTAGAGTACTCGCGCCTTGAGCTAAAGAGCTGAGGGACAGCTATCAGGCCCAGAATTCAAGCCCCATGACCAACAAAAAAAAAAGAAAAAAAGAAATCCAGTTTGGGTCTACAAAAAAAAAAAATCAGGGGTTAAAGGAAAATAAGTGAGATTATAAATATTTCATAGTATCTACAACCTTCTTGGTTAGGAGATAATGTAGTGGGGTGAACACCAAAAACATAAAAGAAAATGAAAAAACTTTCAAATAAAATAGTTCACATCAGTAGTTAGTTTGTATTTTACTTTGTTTTTAGTTTTTTCCACTAGTGATAGAAGAAAACCCTGAAGTCGTGTTACATTTCTCTTGTTTAAATTAAAATTGGTAGAACAGGAGTAGAATAGACAATCTCACATACAGAAGAATTCCAAAACATTTATGAAGATACTAACTGCCTCAAGGAGCTAAGTCTTGACTCCTTAGCTGTGCAAAGTACACAGGTGTGAGCCACCGGCTTTAAAACTACTTTTATGTAATTCTAAAACTAAAAAGTTTACTGGAAAAAGATATTTTTTAATAAAACAAAATAAAATACAATGACTTCAACTAAGTGGTAGTTTCTTAGCTGTTCACTATGCTTTAGAGGGCAGAATTGATCCATTGGAAAATAAAAGAGGGTTGAATGTAAAAACACTTTCTAGGCTCATTAAAAGTAACATTGAATTAGTACTTAAAATTTTACAAGGTGAGCAGTAGATTCACCTTCCATACCCTAATATTACTTTAAATTAACAGCATAGGAAAAATTCAACTTAATCTCCAAAATAATTCAAAAGCCCTATTATAGTAACCATTAGTAGTAAAACACTTACCAAGTCTTGATTCTTGATATTCTGTTCTCTCTCTGTTTCTAACATAACACGGAGATTTTTGGCTCTGTCATCCAGAATTTCATTGGTTTGTTCAAGTGTCTTGATTTTATCCTTAAAAAAAAACCAAAATATTGAAATTACAGTAAAAATTGCTAACATTTATTTTTGCTTTTAAAACATATCCCCAGTGCTGGGAAGTTGGCTCAGTGGTAGAGTGCTTGCCTCACATGTATGAAGCCCCAGGTTCAATTCCTCAGCACCACATAAGCAGAAAAAAAGCCAGAAGTGGCACTATGGCTCAGTTGGTAGTGTGTTAGCCTTGAGCTGAAGAGCTGAGGGACAGCACGCCCAGGCCCAGAGTTCAGCCCCCATGACCGACAAAAAAAAAAAAAAAAATCCTCAAATGGCAAGAAACTTTTACCTTATATTTAATTGCTTCATCAGAAAGAATCATATTTTGTTTCTTAGTTTCTTGAACATGCTTCTTTGATTCTTTGATCTACATAAAATAAAACATTTAGAATTAGGAAGAATTATGGTGCTACCAAAACTTATTTCCAAGTAGGTGGCTCTTTATAGAAAAAACAGAGCTCTATAAATTTATTGACTGTTTACAGTGTTAGAATGGCTTACAGGAAATACTGGAAAGAGAAAACACAATTTGAAAAAATACAATAACCAAACTGTAAGACATATGGAAATAATTCAAGTTAGAACTAGAGGGAAAAGACTAAAAGAGTAATTACATACCTTCTGTTCATAATTTGACAATTTTTGTAACAGTTCTGCATTTTCTTTCATGATAGTCTTCAACTTTTCAGAAATTTGTTCTTCGGTGACTAAAAGGGAAAAATCCATAAGATTATTATGGATAAATAAAATAGAATTATTAAACATATTAACAGCAAACACATGTAGTCTACCACTATGAAGTAAAAGAACATCTTAACATATCTATTTTGCCTTTAAAAAGCAAGCTAGTAATAGCAGTAAGGGCATAAAAATTTCTTCATCAGAGAGAAACATATGAACTAAATCATAGAAATAAAGAGAGCTGGGAGTATGGCTCAAGTGGTAAGCATTTAAGTATAAAGCTGTTAAGTTAAAACTCTAATAGTGTCCCCCCCAAAAAATCCTACTTACTTCTAGCTTACATAAAACCCTCCTATAAACAGGGCACAGAGGTGTGACACACGCCTAACTAGTTGGGAAGCTGACTGGAAAAATCTTAGCTCGAGGCCAGTCTAGCAGAAAAGTTTGAGAAACCACTTGTTCAATGAAGAGAGCTGTATGTGGTGGTGCACACCTGTTGTCCTAGATACATTAAAAGCCTAGCATAGCTGGTTCACACACAGGTGTATGCCTAGGCAGTAAGTGAAACCTTACCAAACCTTACCAAAACCTTATCAAAAACCAACCAGCAAAAATCAGTGCTAGAAGCATGGCTCAAGTGATAAGTACCTGCTAACAAGCTTGAGGTCCTGGGTTCAAACTATAGTTCTGCCCCCCCAAATTCATATCAAAACCAATACAATGGATAAGAGCGTAAAATAAGTCTAAAATTTACCTTGATATACTCTATTCTTTACCTAGGAGAGAGATAAAATTCAATTTGATGTCAAACATTTGATAAACAGAAGTTTATTATTATTAATACAATTAAAGTATAACAACTAAGAATAACCATTTGGTTCAGGATAATAAATCTAGAGGATTAAAAAATACAGAAAAATAAAAAATCATTTTAGATTTCATTAATATTGATATACCATAGACAGCTTCAAGACACAAACAAAACATAAACATTTTACTTTACAGCTAAAGACATACCTAATGATTACAATCTTATGACATGAAAACTTACTTTTAATAAAAAAAAGTAGTTACTATCTTCATAAAAAATATATTAACACTTTATTTAATCAATTTCACTTATTTGTCAACCCCCAATAGCCAGAATAAAGTCTGGAAACAATGACTGTTCAAAAAAATTGAATGCTGGGTACTGGTGGCTCACACCTGTAATCCTAGCTACTCAGGAGGCTGAGATCTGAGGATCACAGTTCAAAGACAGCCTGGGCAGCAACGTCCATGAGACTCTTATCTCCAATAAACCACTAGAAAACTGGAGTGGCATGGTGGCTCAAGCGGTAAAGTGCTGGCTTTGACCTGAAGAGCCCAGGGACAGCGCCCAAGTCCAGAGTTCAAATCCCTCGACCAACAAAAAACAAATTGAGAAAACAAAAGGGCAGAATCTTTTTACAAAAACATTCCTCTTTCACTCACCAGAAAACATAAATTATATTTAAAGTCAGCTACTAGCCAAAAAAAAAAAAAAACAAATACAAATAAAATAAGATCCCTGTAATCCTAGCTACTCAGGAGGCTGAGATCTGAGGATCACGGTTCAAAGCCAGCCAGAGCAGGAATGTCTGTGAGACTCTTATCTCTAATAAAACCACTAGAAAACTAGAAGTGGCACTTTGGCTCAAGCAGTAGAGCGCTCGCCTTGAGCTGAACAGTGCAAGGACAGCGCACTAGTTCAAGCCCACAACCCACCAAAAAAAAAAAATCAGTAACTTTTCTGTATGCCAATAATGAACAGACTGAAAAAGAAATCAGAAAAACAATCCCATTTATAAAAGCCTCAAAAATATTAAGTAGGGGCTGGGAAGGTGGCTCAGTGGTAAAACACTTGCCTTGCATGCCTGAGGCCCTGGGTTCAATTCCTCAACACCATATAAGCAAAAAGAAAAACGCCAGAAGTGGCGCTGTGGCTCAAGTGGTAGAGCGCTAGCCTTGAGCTGAAGAGCTGAGGGACAGCGCCCAGGCCCAGAGTTTAGGCCCCACGACCGGACCCAAAAAAAAAAAAAAAAGTATCTAAGAATAAGCCTAACAAAAGGATAAAAAAAAACCTCTACAATGATAACTAAAAATATTAGAAGATGGAAAAAACTTCCATATTCATGGATTGGTAAAATTAATACTATGAAATGGCTATGCTACTGAAAACAATCAATAAATTTGATACAATTGCAGAAAAATCCAAATGTCATTCTTCACAGAAATAGAAAAATTAATCTTTTTGTTGTTGTTGTTGGTGGTGGTGGTTGTGGGGCTTGAACTGTGGGCCTGGGCGCTGTCCCTCAGCTCTTCAACTCAAGGCTAGTGCTTTACTAATTGAGCCACAGTGCCACTTCCCACTTTTTTTATGTGATGCTGGGGAAATGAACCCAGGGCCTCATGCATGTGAGACAAGCACTCCACCACTCTACCACTAGCCACCTCCCAGCCTGGAAAATTAATCTTAAAATTCATATGGACCCTGAATAATCAAAACCACCTTTGTATTCCAGTCCTCGGCCTTGAACTCGGCCTTAGTGGTATTCCTGAGCTCCTTTTGCTCAAAGTTAGCACTCTACCATTTGAGCCACAGTGCCACTTCTGGCTTTTTCTGTGATTTAAGTGGCAACCAGAGTCTCAAAGACTTTCTGCCCAGGCTGGCTTCAAACCACTATCCTCAGGTCTCAGCCTCCTGAGTAGCTAGGATTATAGGCATGAGCCACCAAGTGGCCAGTTCTCAAAACAATGTTGAGGAATAAGAGTAATATTGAAAGTATCACAATTCCTAATCTCAAATTATATTACAAAACCATAGTAACAAACATGTTAGTGGCACCAAAACAGATACACAGACAGTGGCACAGAATTTAAAAATCCAGAAATGAGTCTACATAGCTACAGCTATCTTATTTTCTACAAAGGCACCAAAAATGTGTTGAAAAAAGGACAGCTTCTTCAACAAATGGTGCTGGGATAGTCACATGTGAATTTGATGTTTACATGTGAGAGACTGAAGCTAGACACATTTCTTATCCTATAAAAAATAAATTCAAAATGGATCAACACCTAAATTTATGATCTAAAGTATGAAAATACTAAAGGAAGAAAGAGGGAAGACCTTTGAAAATATAGGTAGACAGGACTCCAAAGTATAGGAAATAAGAACAAGGATTGACAAATGGGATTGTACCCAATTAAAAAGCTCCTACATAGCAAAGGAAGCAATTACTAGAGTCAAAAGGCAACCTACAGAATATTTTTAAAAAAATTGCTACCTATCCTCTGGATAGAGAATATCCAACATATAAAGAGTTCCAAAAATTAAACACTCAAAAAATCCAATTAATAAATGGGCAAGCTACTTGAACATAGTTCTCAAAAGAAGTATAAAATGGCCAAGTAGTACATGAAGAAATAGTTCAACAACCTTAACAATAAAGGAAATACAAATCAAAACTACACTAAAATACTATCTCACTTTAGTCAGAATGACAATTTTCAAGAAACAGCAATAAATACTGAAGATATGGGGAACCTTTACACACTTCTGGTGAGAATGTAAATTAGTACAACCACTATGGATATCAGTAAATACATTCCTTAAAAAAAATGAAAATAGAACCACCACATGACCCTGCTATATCATTCCCGGACATACATCCAAAGGAATGTAAGTTAGGATAAAATAGAGATTATATGCGCACTAATTTATAGCAGTGCTATTCATAAGAGCAAAGCTATTGAATCAACCTAGGTATCAATCAACTAATGAATGGATAAAGAAAATGTAGTGCTTATGTACAAAGAAGTGTTATTCAGCCGTAAAGAAGAATGAAATAATGTTATTTGAAGGAAAATGGATGAATTTGGAAATCATGTTAAGTGAAAAAGTCAGAGAGAAAGACAAATATTACATACTGTTTCTCATATGTGGAATATAAACCTATTTTCTAAAAAACTGAACAAGACTGCAATATGGGTGGGGGGACTATCTGTGGTAAGGAGAGGAGAAAACAAAGAGTTAAAAGGAGAGGGTGAAGAGAGGTGTTACCTCTTAAATTTGTTTTTAAAGGGGGGAGAGAGGGTAAGAAAGAATAACAGTGGGTGAATTTGACCAATGTACATTATATACATGTATGGAAATAGTACAGTGAAACCACCTATATCAATATATGCTAATTTTAAAAGGGGAAAGAAGTTGGCTACTGGCTGAATTTAGACATGATCTATATCAGGTGATTTCACATACCACTAAAAACAGTAAGATAGATGTAAAAGGGAAAAGAGAATTGACAGCTGACATCTTGATAGGGCAAAAACAGAATCTCCAAGAATAGCAATGAATTCTAGGATAATAAGTCCTAAGTATTAACTAGTTAAAAAGTATTGCTACCCTTCCTCATAACTTCAATTAGACTTCTCCTTTCAATGTTACAAATGGTGATGGAATATTCACACCCATGGCATTTCAGCATTAAGTATCTAAGACACCACTTGTAATAAATATCAACATAGGAAAATGCATTCACAGAAAACTCCAATATAGAGAAAGAAATGGCTATTCCTCTAATGTTAGTATATTTGGACACTTAGCACTAATGTTCCTACAGTAATACACTTTCTTTGCTCCCTTTCACCGAACTAACAAGCAGGGGAAAAAACAAAGAAGCAAAAGCAGTCTTCCAAGGCAAGGACTATGATTCCACAAGGAAATGCTGAGGCTGGAGGGGCAGTAGTTAGGACATAGGGCCTACATGGCATAGTGCAGACCGAAATGGATATTACAGTTCTTGAGACAGGAGAAACAAGAATGAGAAACACACTCCAATTACCACTTCCAATTACCCTTCTGTTCTTTTTTGCCATACTTGAAGAAAAGTTCAAGGAGGTTAGAAAAGCCTTCAGAGAATCCAGGCAAAAGAAATTTTTGTAATAAAGTATTTTTTTGTCCTTGTTTTTGTTGTTTGTTGTAAACAGGATCCCACCATATAATCCTGAAACTTGCTATCTACATACTGACCCAGAAATTAGTCTGGCCTTGAACTTGTGATACTCCTGCCCCAGCTTGCCTGGTGCTAGGATTATAGGTCTGAATTACCAATACCACACCCAAACAGAAGGCCCTTTTTATTTGGGGGGGGGGGGGTCCGGTCGTGGGGCCTGAACTCTGGGCCTGGGCGCTGTCCCTCAGCTCTTCAGCTCAAGGCTAGCGCTCTACCACTTGAGGCACAAAGGCCCTTCTTTTTAAGAAATATTTACAGTCAATTGTATAGGAGACAAATTTTACTAACAATGATAGGTCTGATAAAATAATTAGGAAAAAATAGTGTTAGAAGGGGCTGGGAAAGTGGCTCAGTGATAGAGTGCTTGGCTTGTATGCATGAGGCCCTGGGTTCGATTCCTCAGCACCACATAAGCAAAAAGAAAAAAGCCGGAAGTGGTGCTGTGGGCTCAAGTGATAGAGCTGAAGAGCTGAAGGACAGCGCCCAAGCCCAGAGTTCAGGCCCCATGACTAGACCCAAAAACAAAATAAAAAAAACAAAATAGTGTTAGAAATGGATACTTTTCATCTAATGCTGAGACACAAAGTTTCAACCTGAAAGCTTTTTGTCTACAAAGTTCATTTATACACAATAATTTTCCCTAATTACATTTCCCTAATTACATTACTTTTTTTTTAACTTCACTTTGTTATGAGCATTTTCTGTGTCTCCATGTCTTTGAAACATAAAAAGTTGTCTAATAATACCCCATCGTATGGATGTACAATAATCCCTACTGGGGGTTATTTATGTTGTGTCAAGTTCTCACTCTAATAAACACTGTTATATTGAACATTCTTATACAAGGTTTTTAAATGTAAGATTACTCATCTCTTTTTAAGATAGATTACTAGACAGGATAATATGCATTGCTTTTATATATCCTATCCCATTTTCAAGGTTTCTGATAGATAGTATTAAACTACTCTTCAGAATGGCTATAAAAATTCCCAAAGCTACAGGGCACCTGTAATCCTAGCTACTCAGGAGGCTGATATATGAGGACCACAGTTTGAAGCCAGTAGGGGCAAGAAAGCCCACGAACCTCCTTATTTCTAATTAACTACCAAAAAAGCTAGAACTGGAGCTGTTGCTTAAGTGGTTGAGTGGCTAGCTTAGCTACAAAAGCTCAGGGACAGTGCCAAAGTCCCTGAGTTCAAGCTCCAGGACCCACACCAAAAAAAAAAAAAAAAATCCCCCAAAGCACTAACACGTGCATATTCATCTACTTAATCCTTTAAATTTTAATAGAAGAGATTTACAAATTGGCTTTTCTATTGAGATTATATATCCACTGTTCTCGTAGGTGTTTATCAACACAAAAACTACAGAGGTTAATCTGAATTTAGCCATTTTATGTTTTTATGTCAGTAACTTAAAATATCAGTCTGATTACAAAATATTCCATGTATTTATGAGTCAAAGTATATATTCACTTAATTTACTCACGACAAGAACAGTTCTCCAGAAGAAAATGGCAAATGAAACTATTCCCAGGAGGGCAGTGAGAACCACAGGCTTCCATGGTAGTCCATAGAAATCAGGACCAGGCTGAACATCATCAGGCAAAGTGGCAACTAGCTGAAATAGACATGTTAGACAAAATAAATGGGGAACCTTACATTTACAACAAAGCCTTCTACATTCTAAACCAAACTCAGAAAACCACCATTTCAAAACTCTTCTCAAATAGTTCCTGTTTCAATAAAGAGCAAGGCCCTGTCCTGTTTGGCTTGCATTGTTTTGAAGTGTAATATATCTAAACATCTTTTAAGTTATATTTCCAGTTCGCAATAAGCTAATAGATGGCTGAAATGCCTTGGATTGTACTTTGCTCTTAGATTCATTATTATTACAAAAAAGTAAGGGGGGAGGAAAGGAAGGGAAGGGGGAGACATACAAGCAAGTGTTGGTGGTTTGCACCTGTTAAGAGCTACTGGGGAGGCTGAGATCTAAGAATCACAGTTCAAAGGCCCCAGTCTGGGCAGAAAACTCCAACAGAAAAAGGGAGTGGAGGTGGGGTGAAGAGATGGGAGGGAATGGAAGCAAGCAAGCAAGCAAGGGTGCGCGCACGAGCGCACAAACACATTTTAATGTATAATAGATATTATTTATGGGTACAAATAAAACCAAAAATCAACATGATACTGAAAAGCCCAATTAATGTGTCATTCCTCTAAGAGTTTATATCTTCATTCCATTCTACTCTTATATAAAAAAGTGCTGAGTAAGTTCACTCAACTTTTTTTTAATGATTGCAAATATATTTATTACAATTTACCGATTAGTTAACAGGTATATATACAAATAGAATTTCAACAATAAAATTCCAACAGACTGGTTACATTTAAATCAATGGATCCGAAGAAGCCAATTAGAAGTCTGCCAGTACCTTAACTTGACCTTCCATAAATTATTAAAAAATAAAAATAAAATCTGATAGGTTTGACTTCTAGTTAGATGGAAGAGGTGTCATCACATTTCATCACTGAGAAATAGAAATGCTACCTGTCTATACAAAGCTCTTCTCATGCTACATTCACACGTAAAGCACCATGACATGACTTCAATGTATAAAATGTGCACGAAAGACCTCCAGGCGTTTTGTTCTTAAACATTGGTTAGGGGGCTCTTAACATATCTAAACATTGGATAAGTGGACAAGAATTTTGTCAGCCAACTTTTGATAACTTGGTCCAGCTAGACTGCTCCGAAGGTAACTGTCCTAGGTAAAACTCAGTGCCTTAACTGTTTCCTCAGAGACAGTGCGTTACAACAGCACCTAGCCGGTTAATCACCCGGCCGGTTTGTCGGGGCCTGCTAACTGTCAGACTGGCCCATCCCCCCCCCCCACACACACACAGGACATTACGCTGTTTGGATCGCGACTGCATTCTAGAACCTGACACAGTGCCGGACGCTGTGCTCCGTTACAAAAATAAATAAATAAATTTCTCAAATGACAGGTACCAGCCCTCGTTAAAGAGCCCAGAAACATCCTGCCCGCCGCTTCTTCGCCCTCTCGATCGGGGGGTGGGGGGGGGCATCTCGTTCGCCTGTCCGTGGGTCGGCCCGTCCGTCCTTCCGCCCTCCGCCTGCCCGCCCGAGCCGGGGGTGTCCCCCCGCCCCCCGGGTGCGGGGACCGTCACCTCCAGGAGCTTGGCTATGAGGGCGGCGTAGAGCACCGACAGGGGGCCCAGAAGCTCCGGATCCCCCGCAGAGGCAGTGACAGACGGCACGGTGGCCGGTACCGTGTCCATGGTGCGGGGACGGCGGGGCAGAGGCGACGCTTCCCTGCGGATCGGCCCGGGACCTCCACTTTTCCCGTTTCCTCCTCCGGAGGGACCCGGCCAAGGGGGGCGGGCACCGGGAATGAACTTCGCCTTCCCCAGAAGCCGGCACCTTCCGCCTTCCGCCACCAGGATAATGCGTCATCAAATAATGCCCAGGGCGGATGTCGAGGCGCCCGCTTCTGGGGGGCGGAGCCAGGGCGGCGGGGGGGCGGGGGCGGGGCCTGGGTGAAACCAACCAACGCCTGGCGCGGGGGTGGGAGCTGAGGGGCGGGGTGGGGCAGAGGCAGCGGGGATTGACAACCCGCGATTTTAAAGGGCGTTGAGGCAGCCAGCGAGCTACCCAGAGGTCAAAGGCTGGGAGCCGGGGAGATGCGCTGGGGCTCAGGCCCTTTGAGAATGGATTGTTTTTATGCCACAGGGTGCCTCCAAACGTCCACACCGGAGACGATTCTCCTGCCCCATTCTGAAGGACCACCAGTCAGAATGGACCAAACCTTCCTTCCCAGCCCACTTGAGCCCTCTGCTAAGTACTTCTCCCTTCTTGACCTCCGCTTGGTCACTCTTTTAAAAAGCCTTAGCCCCATGCCAGTGGCTTAAGTCTGTAACCATAGCTACCTGGCAGGCTGAGGACCTGGAGCACTGCAGTTGGAGGCCAGCCTGGAGAGAAAAAAAGTTAACGACACCCTCTTCTCAAGACCCTTTTCTCAACTGGATGCAGTGATGCACGCCTTTCATCCCAAACTACACAGAAGACTGAGATGGGGGAGGGGGGAGGATTACATCCGTGAGCCGTGACTGGGCCAAATACTTTTGAAATCCTTTCTTCCAGCTTTTGGAAATGTACACCACATTATTATTGTTGTTGTTGTAGTTATTATTATTATTTAGAGTCACCTTATTCTCTCTGCTTTTTTGTTGTGGTGGTTTGAACATTTTCCATGGTAAATACTTTTAAAAAATTAGAATTAAGATATAACTTCAAATATTTAAAGGATTACATTGTAGAAATCAGTGTGTGTGTGTGTGTGTGTGTGTGTGTGTTACTTAGAGTTGAACCCAGGGCCTCTTGTTAAACAAGTGCTCTACCATATAAGCCATTAACACCCTCTCTCCATCATTTTACTTTTAGTTTTGGGGGATTTTGTTTGTTTGTTCAGATAGGGTCTCACTGGTAACTTTAGCCCAGCCTGGCTTCAAACCTTGAACTTCTTGACCCTGTCTCCCAAGTAGCTAGGTTGAATTAGATTTTATAAGGAATATCACACAGAGGGAAATATGAGTCAATATAAGAATGGAATTAACCAGCCAAGATCAGTGACTTTGTACTGGGACCAACAGATAGATGCACAGGCCTCATAACTTCTTGTCAATGATGTAGTCCTGCCAACATCTCTTCTAACCCTAAGACTCTGAGTAATTAACTAGTTCATATAGCCTCCACTTCTCCAGTTACCATCTATGTTTAATAAGCTCTTTCCTTAAGCCTTCCAAAAATCAGAATTTTGCTTTGTCTGTCTTAGATATTCCTACCACTGTGTCTTGAACATATTAAGCCATCAAAATGCATTTTTGGTAATTAATGTTGTAATACTGGGCCTCTTTTTGCTATTTATGTCTGTTTCTCCCTCTGTTATCTCACATGTGTGTTCCTAATCTAGACCTAGAAGAGAGAGCTGCATATACCTAGAAATATATGATGAAGAATTCCTCCCACATCTGGAGGCTGTTAAGTTTTTCAAGTGATGGCTCATTCTGATAAAGTATGACTTCTCTAGCTGGCTTAATGTGATGATCAAAATAAAAATAAGGAGGAAGATTAAAAACCTTAAAATGCCAGGTGCATCACCAGACAGTTTACATTTATCAAATCATTTGATTCCTTAAAAAAATTAGAGGATTGGGGCTGGGAAGGTGGCTCAGTGGTAGAGTGCTTGCCTTGCATTCCTGAGGCCCTGGGTTCGATTTCTCAGCACCACATAAGCAAAAAGAAAAAAGCCGGAAGTGGTGCTGTGTCCCAAGTGGTAGAGCGCTAGCCTTGAGCTGAAGAGCTGAGGGACAGTGCCCAGGCCCAAAGTTCAGGCCCCACGACCGGACCCCCCCCCAAAAAATTAGAGGATGGGGCTGGGAAGATGGCTCAGCGGTAGAGTGCTTGCTTCGCATGCATGAGGCCCTGGGCTCGATTCCTTGGCACCACATAAACAGAAAAGGCCTGAAGTGGCACTGTGGCTCAAGTGGTAAAGTGCTAGCCTTGAGCTGAAGGGCTCAGGAACAGTGCCCAGGCCTAGAGTTTAAGCCCCACGACCGACCAAAAAAAACCAAAAAAATTAGAGGAGTAGTGGGCACCAGTGGCTCACACCTGTTATCCTAGCTACTAAAGAGGCTGAAGCTGAAATCTGAGGATCACAGTTCAAATCCTGTGAGACTCTTATCTCCAATAACACCCCTCCCCAGAGAAAACTGGAAGTGGCACAATGGCTCAAGTGGTAAAGCCCTACAACTGACCAAAAAAAAAGAAAAATATGAATATTTTCATCTTTTTTTCAGATAAAGAAGCTGGGATTTAAAGTTTAGTAATTTGTAATATATCAATCTTGTAGAGAACAGAATAGAATAGCAGTCAGTAGCGACCTGGAAGGATAGTAGGAAGGACAGAAAGAAGTTAGAAGAGAGGCACCAAAACACAATTAAGAAAGGAGTAAGTTCTAGGTTTTCTATAGTACAGTAAGATAACCATTGGTTAAAACAACTTATAAGGCCAGGTACGGTGGTACATATATGTAATCCCAGCTAACTAGCAGGTAGGATCACAGGAAGATCACAGTTTGAGGCTAGACTAGGCAAAAGTGAGACCTTATCTGTAAAGTGAACTTAAAGTAAAAGGACAGGGGGTATAGTCAATTGGTAGAATATTTGCTTAGCAAGCACAAAACAGTGAGTGTAATACCCAGTCCTGCAAAAAAAAAAAAAAGCCTATGGTATAATTTGAAATAACTAGTAGAGTACAAAATTCCAAACACACACAAAAAAGGGTAATGCTTGAAGAGATTGAAGTGCTAATTGCACTAATTTGATCATTAAACGAAGTATACATATATTGAATTATGCTAATGTAAAAATATTAAGTTCAATTTAAAAACAATAACAACAACAACGAAAGTTCAGTAGTTTGCCCAAACTTCTAAATTATAACTTTGGGACCAGAAACCAGATCACTCTGAGTCACAACTCATTTACAGAGAAGACAATAACCCTCTTTCCTATACAAGCATTGAAATAACAGCACCTTCAAGAAACTACTTTGGCTGGAAAAATCACTAGCTCTGCAGTCCTGCTGTCCTTAGCCTCCAACTTCTGAAAGCTTGCTCATTCCAATTGAACCAGAAAAAAAGTGTCCAATATCAACAAACACCAGAAGAGGGAGCCAATTCCTAAAAAAGCTTTAGATAAGCTTCTAAACATATTAAATGTCTCATTTGGATCCTGACTCACTTTCTCAAAAGATCAGTCCGAATAAATCATCTGTCATCAATGATTCTTTCGAAGAAACAGATCTGATTCCTGCTGAAATCTTGAAAAGATTGCACATAACTTTCTTCATTATTTGCCCTCTTCCAATAGCTACCATCCACCTTACAACTTCCCTAATCTCTCCATCTTTCCTTCAGCCTCCATCTCTCAGAATGTGTTAACTGTTTATTTTGTTGTTGTTGTTGTTGTTGTTGTTTTGGTCAGTTGTGGGGCCAGAACTCTGGGCCTGGGCACTGTCCCTCAGCTCTCCAGCTCAAGGCTAGCGCTCAACCACTTGAGTCACAGCACCACTTCCGGTTTTTTCTGCTTATGTGGTGCTTAGGAATCGAACCCAAGGCCTCATGCATGCAAGGCAAGCACTTTACCACTGAGCCACCTTTCCAGCCCATGTCTCCTGTTCTGATTGCCCACTGTCTCCATCATCCACCTGAGCTCTTCTATTCAACAACAAACCAAATGACAACTCCCATTTGTCCTTTGAATCTCTTAAAATGTATCTCTCAGCTAATTCTAACCTTATCATCTTTAAATCATAATAAACACATTTCCAGAATATACTATCCCATGATCAGATACACACTTGTATTTTTGCCCATGTCTTATCGTGTTTTCCTGTGAATGTCTTTATCTCCCTGCTATAGACTGAAATGTCCTGATGAAAAGAACCATGTTTTATAGATGTATACCTGCCCAGCCCTGGCAGTGAGCAAATCCTCCTCACGTACTAAATCAAGAATCCTTAACTTGAGCTAGACACCAGTGACTCATGGCTGTAATCCTAGTTATTCAGGAGGCTGAGATCTGAGGATCACGGTTCAAAGCTGGCAGGAAAATCCATGACATTCTTATCTCCAATTAACCACCAAAACAATCCAGAAGTAGAGCCCTGGGCTCAAGTGGTAGAGTGCTAGCCTTAAGGAAAAAAAGCTCAGGGACAATGCTCAGGCTCTGAGTTCAAGTCCCAGGACCAACATATACCTACACACACACACAAAGAATCTTTAAGGCTAGCCCAGGCCATAGGTTCGAGTCCCAGAAACTACGCATGTGCAAGCATGCGCACGCATGCATGCACGCACACACACACACACACACACACACACACACACACACACACACACACACAAGAATCCTTAACTAAAGCCTTCTACCGAGGATTCATTTTAGGATTGTCTTCAGAGGACCAGGAGCTGCTATTATAAAGACATATAAAAGCCTTCATTACATGCATGTTCAAAATCAAATTAAAAATAGTTTTAAGCAACATTGTAGCTTAAGAAACTGTATCAAACTTACCATCTTGGTTAAATAAAGGATGACTGAATATATTAAAAGGATTGCATTCTCCAGCGGTGAGACACTTGCTGGCTCTTCCACAATTGTCTCTAGTTGCTTTTTTGTGTCAACAGAATCAACAGGAGTAACCTCAGTTGTAAGTAACCCTAAAATCGAGGGAGAAAACAAATACTTTATTGTATGCTTTAAATTCATTTGACAGTTCGCTAAATAATAGTCAGAATGCAAAGGATATGTGGTTCTCCTAAAGAAACTACAGAGAAAAGAAACTTCAGAATCTTAATAAGACC